GGGCGTTCACTGCCACTGTTGTCCATCAGAGTCCGTACGTTCCACGTACCGAAGTTCATTTTCCTTTTTTGGCCGCAGGGTGGTGACCCCACTGGACGCGGCAGTCCAGTCAGGGATAAGTGAGGCAGACTATGTTTAGGGCACCTTTTCTAGCCCCCTCCCCATGTGGGGTGAGCAGAGTGGGTCCTCAAAAGGGCTGCTCAGTCGTGGATACAGCTGCCGAACTACTCAACTGCCTCGGTCCTTGAGGTAGAACGACTGAGTCCGTACCCACCGCCCATGTGCCAGTCTGTGACTAGGGGCTTCCAGATTTCACAGTCCTGCCCCCGTCGCCACTCGCTGATCGCCATGGGACTTTGGTTGGTTTGTTTTTATTTTCTTTGGAAGACGCCTGTGCGTGGGTTTTTTTTAATGTGTGGAGGTCAGTGCACAACTGATCAACACACAGACTTCACAGAGTGAGGTTCCACTGGTGATGTAGTTTAACACAATGACCGTGGCTTCTCAGTCTGTTGCAGCCTTCTTCCGCCTTCGCAGCCATTGTAACATGTGCCATGTTATCCTCCGCCTGCTCCGCCGTTGAGGTCTTTGGGTCTTCGGACTGTGCTTGGTCTGGAACCTCCCCTGCAGCCACTCCTGGGAGTGCACGACTCCAGTTGTTGTGCCTACAGGTTCATCGGAACGCGCAAGCCCCCTCACCACGACAAGGTGACAGTCCATCGAGGGGGCAAGGCCACCAACAAAACAACAGCAAACAAATACAACAGTAAAACTCATAAAGCAAATAATAAAACATCAAGCAAAACAATAAAACACTAAAAACAATAACACCATGATGCAGAAAAACCCTCATCCCCATTGACATCAGACACAAGCCCAGGCTGAACTACAACGCCAGGCACTCTGTTTCTCTATGCGTCTTGTAAAGGACTGAATAAAAGAATACTGATGCAGAAGTTGTTACAAGAAATTTTTAGAATCGGAATACAGCCAGAGCCAACATGATCTCTACAGATGTGGTCTATTCTGCTTTGGTTAGACCACATCTGGAATATTGTGTCCAATTCTGGGCACCACAATTCAAGAGAGATATTGACAAGCTGGAATGTGTCCAGGGGAGGGTGACTAAAATGATCAAGGGTCTGGAGAACAAGCCCTATGAGGAGCGGCTTCAAGAGCTGGGCATGTTTAGCCTGAAGAAGAGAAGGCTGAGAGGAGATATGATAGCCATGTATAAATATGTGAGAGGAAGCCACAGGGAGGAGGAGGGAGCAAGCTTGTTATCTGCTTCCCTGGAGACTAGGACGCATGGAACAATGGCTTCAAACTAAAAGAAAGGAGATTCCATCTGAACATTAGGAAGAACTTCCTGACTGTGAGAGCCGTTCAGCAGTGGAACTCTCTGCCCCGGAGTGTGGTGGAGGCTCCTTCTTTGGAAGCTTTTAAACAGAGGCTGGATGGCCATCTGTCAGGGGTGATTTGAATGCAATATTCCTGCTTCTTGGCAGGGGGTTGGACTGGATGGCCCATGAGGTCTCTTCCAACTCTTTGATTCTATGATGATGATGATGATGATTATTATTATTATTATTTGTTGTTCAAGTATTATGTATGTATAGGTCTGGCTGTTTTCTTCATATGTGTTCCATTAAATATGAATTCAAGTGGGACCAAAATAACTTGCAAAAGTGAATGTGGGATGGAGACTAATTTGTCCATTGCTATAATGAGAACTCGCAGTGCCCGCTGGAATGCATGGCATTCTTTGACCTCTTCTGTAAATGCCTATCTCCTTTGATGAACCTGTTTCCACCCCCACAATGAGATGCCTTCAGAGATGCCAACTTGGAAGGTCAGTCTTTGTTCGATTGCAAAACCAAGTGTGCCAAATGCCAGCTCTCAAAGCATGCTTGATCAAAGGTCCCACTGTGTTTGCTAGCCATGCTCTGCACATACTGGATGAGCCCCCAATTTTCTGGTGGAACTGAGATTGTTTACTGTGTGTTGCTAGATTGCAATCAATTTTCCCAATTTGGTACTCCCCATTTGCAGAACATTTTGAAAGCCTTGGACATATAGTAAGGGAGGTACAGGATGCAGCCCTTCAACAAAGAAATTATGGGTTGTTGTAGGTTTTTTTTTGGGGCTATATGGTCGTGTTCTAGAGGTATTGTGGGATGGTATCTGTGTCTCTGCAACGTAGAAGGAACATCAGGGAGCACAGTAGATGTGCTTTTCTGGTCCTTAGTTTTTCCAATTTTTGTGTGCCTTGGAATAGTTTCTCTCCGTAGAGATGTTCAATGTATTGTCGAAGGCTATCATGGCCGGAATCACTGGGTTGTTGTAGGTTTTTCGGGCTATATGGCCATGTTCTAGAGGCATTCTCTCCTGACGTTTCACCTGCATCTATGGCAAGCATCCTCAGAGGTAATGAGGTCTCACTAGCTCTAAGGATGCTTGCCATAGATGCAGGCGAAACATCAGGAGAGAATGCCTCTAGAACATGGCCATATAGTAAAAAAAACCCTACAACAACCCACTCTTGTAGGTTTTTTCGGGCTATATGGCCATGTTCTAGAGCATGGCCATATAGCCCGAAAAATTCCTACAACAACCCAGTGATTCCGGCCATGAAAGCCTTCGACAATACAAAGAAATTATGAAATACTTTATTTATTTATTATTTATTTATTTGGTGCATTTATTGACCGCCGCTCTCAGCCCTAGGGCGACTCGCGGCGGTGTACAGCATATAAAAACAGTTTACAAAAAATAGAAACAAGAAGTCCATACAACAATAATACACAATACTATAAGTTACACTAAATAATCCGCTTCGTCATATCACAGAATCATATCCAGTATCGTAGTCCATATTCCGTTCCAGATGTCAATTACCAGTTGCTGTAATATTCAGTTAAATGCCTTCTCGAAAAGCCAGGTCTTTAGGCTCCTGCGGAAGGACAAAAGGGAGGGCGCCTGTCTGATGTCAACAGGGAGGTCGTTCCACAGCCGGGGGGCCACCACCGAGAAGGCCCTCTCTCTCGTCCCCGCCAGGCGTGCCTGTGAAGCAGGCGGGATCGAGAGAAGGGCCTCCCCAGACGATCTCAAGGTCCTCGTGGGCTCATAGGCCGAGATGCGGTCCGAAAGGTATTTTGGGCCGGAACCGTTTAGGGCTTTGTAGGATAACACCAGCACCTTAAATTGGGCCCGGTAGCAGATCGGCAGCCAGTGGAGCTGGAACAGCAAGGGCGTTGTGTGCTCCCTGCGTCCCGCTCCGGTTAGTAACATGGCTGCCGCACGCTGGACTAGCTGAAGCTTCCGGGCCGTCTTCAAGGGCAGCCCCACGTAGAGAGCATTGCAGTAGTCGAGGCGGGATGTGACCAGAGCATGTACCACCGTAGCCAAGTCAGACTTCCCAAGTCAGACTTTCCATGCAACATGCATAACTCACCACTGTTCTGGGAATGATAGGAGTTGCAGTCCAACTCTCAGGAAGGACTTTGGGTCAAGGAATGGTGACCTAAAAGCCCCAAAGTTATGCTGCCAGAGCACACAACTCAAATGCAAGCTGATTATGGCATCACCAGATAGTACCTTTTTGCTGGCCTGGCCCCACTGCAACCTGCAAAAATCACTGCAAGGCTCTTGGAAACTACTGGAAGTTGAAAACGTTTGGAAATCTTTTGGGAAAGCAATCAGAAGGGACTGGAATGGCACTCCTCAGTTACCTCTTTGAAAAGCAGTTTCCAGATGGGCTGGATTTCGATTTCAATGGCGTTGGGTCCACATACCAACTTCCTACAAAAGAGAGAAGGATGAAAGAGAAGGATGAAAAGGACAGCAGAACAGAGACCAATGTCTTGTCGAAGGCTTTCATGGCCGGAATCACTGGGTTGTTGTCGGTTTTTTCGGGCTGTATGGCCATGGTCTAGAGGCATTCTCTCCTGATGTTTTGCCTGCATCTATGGCAAGCATCCTCAGAGGTGTTAATAATAGAGTATGGGATTGCCTTGGAAGTGGGATGAGGACACAACGGTTCCAATTTTATTCTTAAGAAACTTCAACATACTCCTGCCTTGCAGAAAGAGGTGGGACTGGACTGTCCTTGCAATCCCTTCCAAGCTCTAGGGCCCCATCTACACTGGCATATATTAAAGTATCAGGATGCAGCTTAACAGCATTGAACTGCATTATATGTCAGCATAGAGTCATATAATTCAGTTCAATACAATTATTGTTATGTGATTTCAGTTCCACAAGAACTGCTGGTTTGGTGCCTGGAGTTCCAGGCTTCCAAAGAGCCAGATGAGATGCAGATGGGCTGAAGGCAAAATCAGAGGCTTTATTCTCAATGGTCAGAGAGGATGTCAGTGGAGACAGCACTCCAAGGAACTGACATACTACATGGTGAATATGTGGCATATGAATTGTATTTTGAGTTGTCGAAGGCTTTCATGGCGGGAATCACTGGGTTTTGTAGGTTTTTTCAGGCTGTATGGCCATGGTCTAGAGCAGGGGTCCTCAAACTTTTTAAACAGAGGGCCAGGTCACAGTCCCTCAAACTGTTGGAGGACCGGATTATAATTTGAAAAAAGCATGAATGTATTCCTATGCACACTGCGCATATTTATTTGTAGTGCAAAAAACACTTTAAAACAATAATAATTAAAATTAAGAACAATTTTAACAAATATAAATGTATTAGTATTTCAATGGGAAGTGTGGGCCCGTTTTTGGCTGATGGGATAGGATTGTTGTTGTTGTTGTTGTTGTTGTTGTTGTGTGCTTTCAAATAGTTTCAGACTTAGGTTGACCCTGAGCAAGGGCTGGGTAAATGAGCTTGGAGGGCTGGATCCAGCCCCCGGGCCGAAGTTTGAGGACCCCTGGTCTAGAGGCATTCTCTCCTGACGTTTCACCTGCATCTATGGCAAGCATCCTCAGATGTAGTGAGGTCTGTTGGAACTAGGAAAAAGGGTTTTTAGGTCACCATTCCTTGGTCATTCCACAGATATATAAACCCTTTTTCTTAGTTCCAACAGACCTCACTACTTCTGAGGGTGCTTGCCATATATGCAAGCGAAACTTCAGGAGAGAATGTCTCTACACCATGGCTATACAGCCCGAAAAAACCTACAACAACCCACTGTATTTTGAGTGCTATTCAAGACCACCACACAGTTAAGTTAGGCGATCCCTCGTTGTCCGAGTAGGATAGTCCTCCAGGATCAGTGTCCTGGAGGTGGGTCCGTAGGTGACTGTGGAGCCCTATTCTTGATCTGCTTCTTCTCCTGCAGTGAGGGCATTGGTTTCCAGGTGGAAGGCAGTCCCAGTCGGGGTTGGCTTGATGTGCCTTCCTCCTGGCCCATTTCTACAGTGTAGATTAACGCTATGATTATACAAAAACTGGTCCAGAACAAGGGCAACTCTTTCTTCCCCCTCTCTCAATTGACAAAGGCTTCAACCTACAGAATTCATTAGGTGATCCTATCCTTGCATAATCTCCCTGAAGCATATTTTAGGTGTATCCTATGCATTTCTTAGACAATAATCCAGAGTGGGAAAGCACTCAAAACTCTTCAGCACCAACATCCCATTTTGAGGGAATGCATCAACGTATTTTTGGCCATTTATTTATTTTTATTTCGGTTACTTCTACCCCGCCCTTCTCACCCCGAAGGGGACTCAGGGCAGCTTACAAAGGCACAATTCGATGCCAGCATTACATAACAGTAGTAAACAAATAGCAACAATTAACAAATTAAACAACAGTTCCTGCATTACAACAATAAAACAAATAAAACCAATAAAACCAATACAAACCCAATTACTCCTCATTGATGGTCAGCGTTCACTATCTCATAGTTCAAATTCCAATTCCACAATTGTCAGTCCTGTCAGTCCTAATCGTCTGATTGTCCTTATCTAGTTGTCAGATTGCCCAAAGGCCTGGTCCCACAACCACGTCTTTACCTTCCTCCTGAAGGAGAGGAGGGATGTTGATGCCCTAATTTCCTCCGGGAGTGAGTTCCACAGGTGAGGGGCCACCACTGAGAAGGCCCTGCTCCTCGTCCCCACCAACCTCACTTGTGATAGCGGTGGGGTCATGAGCAGGGCCTCCCCAGATGATCTCAGACTCCGAGGTGGGATGTAGAGGGAGATACGTTCGGACAGATATGCTGGACCGGAAACGTATAGGGTTTTGTAGGTCAAAACCAGCACCTTGAATTGTGCTCGGAACTGAACCGGCAGCCAGTGGAGCTGACACAACGGGGGGGGAGGGGGGTGTTCCCTGTATGACGCTCCAGTGAGTAGTCTGGCTGCCACTCGCTGGACCAGTTGAAGTTTCCGAACAGTCTTCAAGGGCAACCCCACGTAGAGTGCGTTGCAGTAATCTATTCGGGATGTAACAAGAGCGTGGACCACTGTGGCCATTGGGTGTCCCTAAGACTTTCTCCTGAGTTGATGCTGCTGCTGGTGAGATCTGAACTGCAAGTCACACAATTTCTGCAGACAATACCTACCTGAGTTCTTGCTGCTTCCTTGTCAGCCCCTCTCCAAATTTCTGGTGTATCTGATAGCAAGTGTTGCTGTCCTCAAGTGACCTGCAAAAAGAGGAGAAACATCACATAGAGATGCGAAATAATATTTCAGATAATGGCCCTTTTGTTTATTTTCCTGGTAAATAGCTCCAAACTCACCCAACTCTGACAAAGGCTTTTTCGGACACATTCCAGACGCAGCGGATTTTTTGCACTTGGATGTACTTCACCTGCAATACACAAGGCATGCAATACACAACGCTTTGCTACTCTGCTGCTGAGTATGCATGCCCAATGTGGAACACATTGTTACAGTAAGTCGTAACAGGATCAAGTATGTGTGTGTGTGTTAAAGAAAACCTTATGCTGTTAATTATTATGTGCAGCTGCTAATGTAGGTCAACTAGTAAGTTTGGACCACACCCATTGGGGTGTAACTGTATGGTTTTTAGAATACAGTTCAGCTTTTGCTCTGAGGAGCCTTTGCTCAGGGACTTTGTTCAACCATTTCTACTGCTCTCTCATTTGGATGAAGAAGAAGAAGCCTTATTCTGTATTGCTTACAAAGACGACGTAAGTTTGTTGCACTGTTTGTAACGTTGCAAGTTTATGTTTTAACTCTGTTGATAAGAGTAAAGTTATTCTGTTCTTTTTCCTCTTGCCTGGGTGCAATGTTATTGTGTCTTCTGCTTTGGACTTGACTGAAATATGCTTAGCGCAACACACATCTCACCATGCTAAAACAGTGGATGTGGCTCTTAATGAGACATGCTGCATTATCACGGGGTGTCTGCGCCCTATACCACTGCCAGTATTGCACCACCTGATATCCACCAGGAAGTAGCAACCAAAAGTGAAAGGACCAAGGCAGTGACATCTCCAGCCCATCCCCTGTTTGGATATCAGCCAGCATGCCAATGACTTAAATCAAGAAACAGCTTTCTAAGATCTACAGATACTTGCTGGAATGCCTCAGCAAGCGAGAGTCCAAAAGTGGCAGGCTTGAACCAATGAGAGCCCCAACCCCCCGGGCACACAGAAGACTGGGCGACTTGGAAGGCGCTGAACAGACTGTGCTCTGGCACCACGAGATGCCAGACACATCTCTCCACGCTAACACAGTGGGTGTGGCTCTTCATTGAATGCAATTTTCCTGCTTCTTGGCAGAAGGGGGTTGGACTAGATGGCCCACGATGTCTCTTCCAACTCTAGGATACTATGATTCTATAGTAGGAATGATATTTTTGGTTTTATCCAGCACCAGGACTTTGCATAGGTAGTCAAAACCAAGGCTGACATGGAAAATGTCCAGAGAGGACATACTTTGTTGGATGTGGATAAATGAAACACTGGAAAGTGCTCCAATTGTATTGCATTTGGACATTTCTGGGCTCCTTCGACTGGAGCCATCTCTAAGCTCACTCAGCCAGCTCTGAGTATAACTATAACTTCCTCCAATTCCTTCTCTCCTTTGTTTGTGCGCCAGCAACACCCGTACCTTGGGAAGTCTGACTTGGCCACGGTGGTCCACGCTTTGGTTACATCCCGTTTAGACTACTGCAACGCTCTCTACGTGGGGTTGCCTCTGAAGACTTCCCGGAAGCTGCAGCTAGTCCAACGCTCGGCAGCCAGACTACTAACGGGTGCTGGGTACAGGGAGCACACCACTCCGCTGTTACACCAGCTCCACTGGCTGCCAATTAGCTTCCGAGCACAATTCAAAGTGCTGGTGTTAACCTATAAAGCCCTAAACGACTCCGGCCCTGTTTACCTCTCCGAACGTATTCTCCCCTATGAACCATCAAGATTATTAAGATCGTCTGGAGAGGCCCTGCTCTCGGTCCCACCAGCCTCACAAGCGCGTCTGGTGGGGACGAGGGACAGGGCCTTCTCGGTGGTGGCCCCGCAACTCTGGAACTCTCTCCCACCGGAGATCAGAACCGCCCCTTCTATCCTGACTTTTAGGAAACAGGTGAAGACGTGGTTATGGAGACAGGCTTTTGATGAGTGAGACAACACCCTAAGACATGGATGGAAGATGATGTATAATTGTTTTTTAGTATGACGACTGACCACTGTAGTTTTGGATATATTTGTTGTTTAATGTGTTATTGTAATATGAACTATGATGTTTTTACCGATTGTATGTGTTTTTATGGTTGGAAACTGGTCTGAGTCCCTCAAAAGAGGTGAGAAGGTCGGTATATAAAACTCTGAAATAAATAATAATGAAAATTTAGGATGACTTCCTTGAGTGCAAGGAGTGCTTACTTTGTATCCAGGCCTGGCAATGGCTCTGTTGATGACAGATTCCTGGTCTTCGCGGAAGAGCTCATCCGGCGTCTCGCTGTCCAGGAGATTCTGCAGGTCGAGAGAGATCACCTTCTTCCTCTTGCATCTCTGAAACTCATCCTCAGGGGAGAAAGGCAGAAAGATGGGGTGGATTCTCTTGGAGGGAAGCTTTTGCAGATCACTACTCTTGCGAGAGTGGGAATGATACATGCATGCAACTTCCAAGGAAAGTGGAAATGTAGCAGCAAAAAGGAGAGATAATATCAAGAGAGATCCTTCTCGGAGAAAGAAAAGTACAGCTTAATTTCCAGCTGGGACCCTGGAGTGGAGCTATGTCTAAAAGCAACCAGAGTGAGGATAAAGGCGTTGACTGTGCCTTTTATACCTCTACAAATGCAGGCAAACAAAGAAACGTGCTTCTACATACATTGACATCATTTACTGCGTCACTTTAGCATCATAGAAATATCAAATTCTATCTTCCAACATGCAAAAGGCATGTCTTTGTATTTCTTTCTAAAGAGCAGCATACAGCTGACAGCTTACATCCATCAATCAAGGGGCCTACTTTGACTTGTCAGGAGGGAGGGGGATAGGCTCCTTACTTTTTACTTATCTCTGTTGGTGCTAGGACGGGCTTATCTCCCCACTTTCCTGGATTGTTCACCCCCCTCTTGCTGTGCCTGGACAGCAGCTTGTCCTGTCAGCTTGGGTTTCTGATACAGAGAGAACTTGATTTTTTCTTACATTTCAATGCTTGTAATGTACATACAATATATGTATAAATAAATAACTATTTTTTCCAATATCTCCCCATCACTAAGACTTCACAAGGGATGGAAACCCTCCTTGGTGGAGGTTGACACCAACATGGAGCAGAACCCCCTTCACCTGGGCTATAACATCTACAGATAAGAATGTATACAAGCAGCATGTGAGACTCACTGTGGCCCGTAATAATACGGTATCGGCCTCCTCCAGGTGGCAGGGAACGCAGGTGGCCCAGACGTTCCACTCCGGCTTCCAATAGAAGAGGAGCAGAAGGGCTCCGCAGGAGAAGAGGTAGCCAGCAAGGCAAAGGACCCTCTTGGCGACTTGGCTCTTGTAGCCAAATATTTCCTAAGAGGTAGAAAAAAATAGTGTTCAATTATTCATAGAATCCTAGAGTCAGAGGTTGGAAGGGACCCTCAGAATGCCTGTGTACATATCCTGGTGCAGCTGGGGAATCATAAGTTTCCACATTCCCAGTGAAGCAAGTGATGCTCCAGATAGTTGCACATCATTCAGGAATGCACACCTGGGCACACGACAGGAGCACAAGTCAGACTTCAGCTGTGAATATGTGATTTGAATATGGATGTCATGGGATGCCCAAAAAGGGATCACTGCATATGGTCAGGAAGTTACATGTGTGTAAAAGTTGCATGAGTGCAAAACAACACCAGCATCTAGGAGTTGTAGTTTGGCAAAGACTAAAGAATGCAGTTTGATCTCACTTGTAATGAAGTCGATAGGAACTTTAGAAGGGTCTACCCCAGGAGGAGAGACTCTGCGGCCCCACCAAAGAGGGATCGCTACATTGGTGAGCAAAGAGAAGCCTAATTTTAAGCAATTTATTTTCCTTAAGTTCCCAAAAAGAATCTCACCAAAGTTGAAGAAAGTGCCACCGAGATGTTTATTAGCGATTCAGCTGAAAAGGATGCACAGCCGTGATCATTCGTCAAGCAGAGCATGTGGTTACAGAAATAAAGGCAATTTTTATAGAAAATACAGAGTCGTGAATTTCAAAATTCCTGCTTCCCCCTTTCTCCCAGCTCGAAGGGGATTGGCTGACGTGCAAACAGCTTCAGGGCCAAACACAGGGCTTTCGCGGTGTGCCAGAGCCAATCAGGAGGCTCTTGCTGCCTCGACGCTCCAGCAAATCAGAAGGGAGGGAGGCGGGATGAAGGGATACAATGCATTCTTGAGTGGATTATGGAGTTTAATGTCCTGGAGGCTTATCGAGTCAGGAACCGGCCTGCCAGAAAAACCAAGGCTATTGTCTTGAGATGGGTCTGCAATAAGCATTGATTACTTAATCCGGTTTTTCCTCTTACAAAGGGGAAAACTTTGGTGAATGTCTTTAGTGGAGAGATTTGAAAGAAAAATGGGTTGGGGGAAGAAGGACTTTTCGAAGGTCATCTTTCCCCCATTGTTATATAATTAAAAGTTTGCCAAGCAAAAATCCTCTTGATGGCCCGACTCGAAGTCAAGAAAGATAATTCTTTGTTATTTTCCATGCAAGCAATGTCCTAAGATAAGGGGCTTTCATGATCGCTGATTGCTTTTTTCAGAGGCAGGGCAACTTCCTTATGTAATTTCCTCAAGGAGAGGGGAAGGGGGCAAAAGGGTCAGGGCAAGGTCAGATACATGATGGGAAATATAGAAATACAGGAGAAAATATGAAAATATAGAAATCATAATACAGAGAGTAAACCCAACTACCTTCCCCCAGTGTCCATAGTTCATATTACTCATAGGAAGGTCCATAAAGGGAAATATATCCATGAGGGGGAAAGAGAGTCCCTTGTTTGTGAGATGGGGGACCATCAGGAGCCCAGGTGTGCCTCAGATGGAAAAATTCAAATACTTTTGTGGCATGATTTTCAGTAATAAATTGGTTACCTTCTGCTGTAAACATATGAAAATAGGGCATAAAGCCTTGATTAAATGATACACGCCAATCTGACCAAGGCTTAACCCTTATTATCCAGCCTGGAGTCCTTGCCCTTAGCAAAACTATAAGTTACTATCTCTTTTTTTTGGGGGGGGGGGGGTCATGTTCGACTTCAGTAATGATCATGGCTCAAGGCTATAGAGATCTGGGGTTTGTAGATTTGCAAGTTCCAATCCATAGCCTTCTCTAGGTGCACTGACATTGTAGAATTGATGCAGTTTGACCCCACTTGTAACTGCCATGTCTCCATGTGTTGGAAACCTGGGAGCTATAGTTCCTTGAGGCACCAGCACTCTTTGGTAGAGAAAGCTCAAAACCTTGTCAAACTACAACTCCCAGAATGTCACAGTATGGAATCATGGTAGTGAAGGTGGTCCCAAACTGTGTTCATTGTGTAGATTGCTATGAATGTGCCCCCAAATACTAGCAGTGGCCTTTGTTGTGATGTGGACTACCACAACGTCCCAAAGTCGCTCCAAGGCAGTGACACAAAAAGCGCATTGCAACATTAGAGAGATGGGCCAAAACTAACAAAATGAAGTTCAACAGTGACAAATGCAAGAGACTCCACTTAGGCAGAAAAAACGAAATGCAAAGATACAGAATGGGGGACGATGCCTGGCTCGAGAGCAGTACGTGTGAAAAAGATCTTGGAGTCCTCGTGGACAGCAAGTTAAACATGAGCCAGGAATGTGATGTGGCGGCAAAAAAAGCCAATGGGATTTTGGCCTGCATCAAGAGGAGCCTAGTGTCTAGATCTAGGGAAGTCATGCTCCCCATGCTCTATTCCGCTTTGGTTAGACCACACCTGGAATATTGTGTCCAATTCTGGGCACCACAATTCAAGAGAGATATTGACAAGCTGGAATGTGTCCAGAGAAAGAGAGCGACTAAAATGATCAAGGGTCTGGAGAACAAGCCCTATGAGGAGCGGCTTAAGAGAGCTGGGCATGTTTAGCCTGAAGAAGAGAAGGCTGAGAGGAGATATGATAGCCATGTATAAATATGTGAGAGGAAGTCACAGGGAGGAGGGAACAAGCTTGTTTTCTGCTTCCCTGGAGACTAGGACATGGAACAGTGGCTTCAAACTACAAGAAAGGAGATTCCATCTGAACATGAGGAAGAACTTCATGACTGTGAGAGCCGTTCAGCAGTGGAACTCTCTGCCCCGGAGTGTGGTGGAGGCTCCTTCTTTGGAAGCTTTTAAACAGAGGCTGGATGGCCATCTGTCAGGGGTGATTTGAATGCAATATTCCTGCTTCTTGGCAGAATGGGGTTGGACTGGATGATGGCCCAGGAGGTCTCTTCCCACTCTAGGATTCTATGATTCATTCAGAAGCCAGGCCATTCCCCCTGTCAAGGGGCCCAACAGTGGCTCTTCTTCCAGCTTGACCTGTGCCCTCACAAGCCAGCCAAACAGCTCCTTGAGTGTCCTAGAATACCTCCAGGTTCAGTCACATTCCTCCGATAAGGATCTTGTCCCTCAAGGGGAAAGTGAGTGCAGCCAAGTGCTGACATCCACGATCCACAGGCTGAGGGCACCCAAGAAAGAGACCTTCTCCGTCTCCAGGCCATATGGGGTGTGTGTGTGTGTGTGGGGGGGGGGGTCTATAAGGGGCCTCTGGCCATGGAAACTCTGGGGAAACCACAAGCTTTTGGAGAGACATCTGTCGCCAATTCCTTGAATGGCACTAGCAGAAGATAAATGCTTACCAACAGAATTTGCCCAGAAATGTTAAGAGAGCATTGATTGATTGATTGATTTACAACATCTATATGCTGCCCTCAGAGAGGCTTACAAGTAATATGTAAATGCAATATATTATATTATTACCATGGCACAATATTAGTATTAGATATTACTATATTGTACTATACCATTATACTGTAATATTACTAATAATATTACATGCAATATAAAATATATAATTATAATATCGTACTGTTATTAGTATTATATTGTACCACATTATAATATTGTCAATATTGTATGTATACACAATAGGTTATAAAGGGTAAAGGTTTTCCCATGACATTGTCCAGTCGTGTTCAACTCTGGGGGTTGGTGCTCATCTCCATTTCTACCCCTCTATTCTGCTTTGGTTAGACCACACCTGGAATATTGTGTCCAATTCTGGGCACCACAATTCAAGAGAGATATTGACAAGCTGGAATGTGTCCAGAGGAGGGCGACTAAAATGATCAAGGGTCTGGAGAACAATCCCTATGAGGAGCGGCTTAAGGAGCTGGGCATGTTTAGCCTGAAGAAGAGGAGGCTGAGAGGAGATATGATAGCCATGTATAAATATGTGAGAGGAAGCCACAGGGAGGAGGGAGCAAGCTTGTTTTCTGCTTCCTTGGAGACTAGGACGCAATGGAACAATGGCTTCAACTACAAGAACAAGGAAGAACTTCCTGACTGTGAGAGCCGTTCAGCAGTGGAACTCTCTGCCCCGGAGTGTGGTGGAGGCTCCTTCTTTGGAAGCTTTTAACCAGAGGCTGGATGGCCATCTGTCAGGGGTGATTTGAATGCAATATTCCTGCTTCTTGGCAGAAGGGGGTTGGACTGGATGGCCCATGAGGTCTCTTCCAACTCTTTGATTCTATGATTCTAAGCCGGGGGAGACTTTTTCAGCCTAAAAAAGGACTGTGGCCGGAATGACTGCATGGAACTCCGTTACCTTCCCACTGGAGCAGTACCTATTGATCTACTCACATTTGTATGTTTTCAAACTGCTAGGTTGGCAGAAGCTGGGGCTGACAGTGGGAGCTCACCCTGCTCCCCGGATTCAAACCTGTGACCTTTCAAGAAGCTCAGAAGCTCAGCGGTTTAACCCACTTTGCCACCAGAGGCTATGTATACACAATATATTATATTATATTATACACTGTGCAGGAGACATTTCTATCATCCCGTGCATTGCCTCCCTTTGCCAGCTTGATTCCAGCAGAAAACATATTCCCAAAAGAATTTGCCCATATATTTTAAGAGCGTTTCATTCTCCCAGTGCATTCCTTGGAGCTGAAACTTGGGAGCTTCCTTTCATCCATAAGTAAGTCTCCCCAAAGGGCCAAAATAATCCGCAAAGTTGATGTTTAGAAATACCTGGGAAGTTCCTACATTTGGGAAGACGGTGCCAGAGAGCTCAATTTCCTCCTCCTCCGCTTACCATCTCCTCCTCGGTCCCTTTGCCAAGCAGGGCATGGTGTCCGTCCAGCGAGGAAGGCTTCCCTCCCATCCAGAATGACAGCTGTCACTCACTCCAGAGGACTCTCTCTGCATCTGCAACGGTCCTAAACCCAGGGCTGCAGTGACCTCCCTCATTGCTGCGTCCGGCTGACTTTAAGAACCGGAGCACAAGCATTTTTCCATAAAACCCACGGCTCAGAAAACCTGTTCCTGCCTCCCGGCCATTAATCTTTCTTATATAAGTCCCTTTGTTGTGACTCTTTCCCCTTTGCTGGCTTCACAAGCAATGAGATAGGCACCACACTCTGACCTGCATAGGTCAGAAAAGGAGGGATTTGCACCCCTGCGAAGCCAAGGGAACACAAATCCCCCTGAGGAAAATGTCCTCTCCTTTCTAGCCATGAGCAATATGCAAAGACTTGGTAGAGATGTGTGATATGATGCATTGCGTGGAGAATCTGGGTAAGGGGTTGCTTTTCTTCTTTTTGCATAAAGGCAGACATTATTATCATGCTGACCATATGGTCATCCTCTGGGGCTAAATGATGGGAAATGACAGGAATTACCAGGGTGAAGGATTTCTTCAGATGACACAGAATTAGGATTGACCACTGAGAGGTCCATGGCTTGAACTCTACCCAAAATGCAACCATCAAAGGCACCCGGGATGCCCAGAATTCATAGCAGGGCTTTCTTGGTGGCGCTGGAACAGCCCTCAAATGGAAGTTAGTTGGAAGCCAATATGGAATAGTTTTCTACATCTAGAGAAGCAAGAGGATATTTCCCTTCCCGATAATAATAATAATAATAATAATAATAATAATAATAGTAATAATAGTAATAATAAACTTTATTAAACTTTATATCCCAGTTCTTGGTGTTTATGCCAGAGTTTTTAAGGTTGTCTTTGAGCCCATCTTTCAGTCTCTTTTCCTGTCCTCCAACATTCCATTTTCCGTTCTTGAGTTTGGAGTAGAGCAACTGCTTTGGGAGACGGTGGTCAGACATCCAGACAACATGGCCAGTCATGCGATCATGTGAACTCCATTTGTGCCGTCATGCCTGGGGGCTATAGCTCTTAGTGAAAGAGGCATGGACGTGACATCTTTCCCCAGGGGATTGCTTCTTGCCCTCCTATAGGAAACTGGGACTCTCAAAGACCCAAACACTGTAGATAACTCAAAATAAGTTTTATTGTTCACAAAGAGTTATCTCTTTAAGGCAATAAGCTGGAAGTTTCAAGAGAGTGAAGGAAAATGTACATTGCAGTCTCTGGTTGTCTTGGGCCCAAGAAGTTTTGAAGCTGATAAGCTTTTCCAGGTCCCTCTTTCTCAATGGCTGTAAATGCCGGAGCAATTCACAACCCCAGTCCAGATGGCCTATGTTTGAAGACACAGGGTCTTCCTCTGGTGCCAAAGGAACTGGTCTGAAGGTACTTGAGACTTCCCAACATCATTCAGATTGGTCTGAACATAAAGCATAAGTCTCATGGGTAAAAACCTCAGAATTGGTGCTGAGAGGTAATTTAATCAGGGACTTTTAGAGCCAAGTCTCTTACGTCCATCTGATAGAAAATCTGAAGGTGGAATAAAAAAGGGAAGCACTCCCCTCTTCCAGGAAGAGGTGAAGCCAAACAATTGAGCTGAAAAGCAATTCAACTGGTGCAAACAACACTGATTGACAGCTATAAATAACCAATCAATCCAACTATACATAAACAGGGTAAAAAGGCAGGATTAAGCATGATACAACAGTTTAAATCTTGCAACTAATAGTTCTACACATAGGTGGCACCACTCGCGCCGTCACGCCGCTGGTTGATCGCAGAGGACCATGGCTTCAGTGCTGGTGGTCTTCGCTTCCTCCAGCATGCTGACATTTGTCCGCTTGTCTTCCCAAAAGATTTGCAGGGTTTTCCAGAGGCAACACTGATGGAATCGTTCCAGGAGTTGCATGTGACTTCTGTAGACAGTCCATGTCTTGCAGGCGTATAGCAGGGTTGGGAGGACAATAGCTTTATAAACAACCCCCTTGGTCTCCTTACAGATGTCCCGGTCCTCAAACACTCTCTGCTTCATTCGGGAAAATGCTGCACTCACAGAGCTCAGGCAGTGTTGTATTTCAGTGTCAATGTTGACTTTTGTGGAGAGGTGGCTGCCAAGGGAGCAGAAATGGTCAACATTTTCTAATGTTACACCATTAAGCTGTATTTCTGGCATTGGAGAGGGATTGGCTGGTGACTGCTGGAAGAGCACTTTGGTTTTCTCGATGTTTAATGACAGGCTGAGCTTCTCATATGCTTCTGCGAAGGTGTTTAGAGAGGCTTGTAGGTCTTCTTCTGAATGCGCACAGATGATGTTGTCATCAGCATATTGGAGTTCTATAACATATAGGACAGCATATTGGAGTTCATACTGGAGTTCATTTTTACTATCACAATGTAGTACCGTACATTTCTCCCTGTTGAAATTCACTTGGTTAGTTCTGGCCAATCAGGTCTCGCATCTGCTATGGAAGTCCTTTTGGATTCTGGTCCCAAGAGGCCGTCCCCTCATGACTCCCCTTTGGAGAAGCTGCTGTTTTCCGAACCTGGGGCTGGAGCTGCTCAAGGAGAGGCAGAAGCCCCATAACAGACACTGGGATGGTGGGCATTTGCAGGACAAAACAGGTGCTTTTCAGGTGATGAATGAGGGGCACACCTGTCTTGGCTGCCAGTGCATCACCTTCCACGTCATGAAGCAACTGCGAAACATCTTCAGGGCTGATCAGTGGATAAGGGAATAGGTTAGACCAGTGTTTAATATTTTTGGTGGAGAACCAGCGGGGCTTTCTTCTTCCCTGAAGGACCAGAGGCACCTTTGTCCCTTTGGCCACAACTGTCCCTTCCTTTCCTGCAAACTCTCCCTCGATCAGTGGGCAATAATTTGCAAAGCAGGACTGGTCTAGGGAAAGCCACTTCTGAAATGCTTCTGGATAACTAACATTGGAATATGCGCCATCAGCCCAGACGATATAAAAAATAAAACTGTGACATGCTTCTCTCGATGCCTGAGCGAACTGCAAGTGTCTATGTTGAGAAGCTTGAGATACCCAGGAACTGAGACTATTACTGGTTTTAAACATCAAAAAAGGATATTTATTTGTTCAAAGTCCTTGAAGATTTGGCACAGTTCATCAAAGTTGCAAATAAACAGTCAATAGATGAAACTACAAAAATATTCTTTCCTTTCAGTTCTTGTGGGTTTTTTCGGGCTATATGGCCATGTTCTAGAGGCATTTCTCCTGACGTTTCGCCTGCATCTATGGCAAGCATCCTCAGAGGTAGTGAGGTCTGTTAGAACTAGGAAAATGGTTTTTTTATATCTGTGGAATGACCAGGGTGGGGCAAAGAACTCTTGTCTGCTGGGCTAGGTGTGAATATTTCAACTGACCACCTTGATTAGCATACAATGGGCTGACTGTGCCTGGAGCAAACTCTTCTTGAAAGGTGATTAGATGTCCCTGCCTGTTTTTCTCTCTGCTGTTTTTGCTGTTGCAATTTTAGAATTTTTTAATACTGGTAGCCAGATTTTGTTCATTTTCATGGTTTCTTCCTTTCTGTTGAAATTGTCCACATGCTTGTGGATTTCAATGGCTTCTCTGTGTAGTCTGACATGGTGGTTGTGAGAGTGGTCCAGCATTTTTGTGTTCTCAAATAATATGCTGTGTCCAGGTTGGTTCATCAGGTGCTCTGCTATGGCTGACTTCTCTGGTTGAAGTAGTCTGCAGTGCCTTTCATGTTCCTTGATGCGTGTCTGGGCGCTGCGTTTGGTGGTCCCTATGTAGACTTGTCCACAGCTGCATGGTACACGGTAGACTCCTGCAGAAGTGAGAGGATTCCTCTTGTCCTTTGCTGAACGTAGCATTTGTTGGATTTTCTTGGTGGGTCTGTAGATAGTTTGTATGTTGTGTTTCCTCATCAGCTTCCCTATGCGGTCAGTGGTTCCCTTGATGTATGGCAAGAACACTTTTCCTCTGGGTGGATCTTCATCTTGACTCTCGTGGCTTGTTCTTGGTCTTGCAGCTCTTCTGATGTCTGAGGTGGAGTCTCCATTGGCCTGGAGAGCCCAGTTGAGGTGGTTCAGTTCATCTTGGAGGAGGTGGGCTTCGCAGATTCTTTTTGCACGGTCTACCAAGGCTTTAATGGGGCTTCTTCTTTTTTGACTTGGGTGATGGTTGGAGTTTTTATGTAGATATCTATCTGTGTGTGTGGGTTTTCTGTAAACGGTGTGACCCAATTGTTGATCTGGTTTGCGGATGACTAGGACATCTAGAAAAGGCAGTCTTCCTTCATTTTCTTTTTCCATGGTGAACTGGATGTTAGGGTGGATGCTGTTGAGATGGTCCAGGAACCTGTTGAGTTCTTCTTCTCCATGGCTCCAAATGGTGAAGGTGTCATCCACATATCTGAACCATATCGTGGGCTTTTTGGTTGCTGTCTCCAGGGCTTGTTTTTCAAAGTGTTCCATGTAGAAGTTGGCTATGACTGGGCTGAGAGGGCTCCCCATAGCTACTCCATCTTTCTGTTCGTAGAATTCATTGTCCCTTTCTTTCCCGATTGTCCCTATTCTTTCCTTTCTTTAGTTACAGAGGTGACCTTTCCTCCAGATGGCAGATAAGATCCTGGAATCTTTACACCCTAACCTAAAGCTGTTGTGGTTTAGAAAAAGGCAGGTTTTTCCCTATCTATAACTTAAGGTCAGTCCTGGAGACAAAGCAGTCATGACTCTCTCTCTATAACTCAATCTTCTCAACTAAGGCTATCTGCCTACAATATCTCAATACAGCTCAATACACTATCTATACTATCTATAGCTTAATATATCTTACTCAGTTTCGCTTAATACTTATCTATAGTGTAGTTTTTGCAATGGTTCTCCCAGAGCTAACTGCTTAGCCATCAGCACGTCTGAAATCTTTCCTCAAACTGAAAAGGCAGGGGAGAAACTAAAATGGAGATCTTTCCCTGGGAGAAGAGGCGGTCCCTAAACTAAAAGAGTTGCTCTCAAAGCCAATGGTTGCAGAGAGACCTGAAGACTCTGATACTATTAACTTTTAGAACTCTTGCAAAGATGCAGCAGCCCTGGGAGAAAATGCAAGAGGAAGCAACCTCAAGCAACTTTAAAGTGAGGCAAATCAGGCTCCTGGGAGACGGAACAGAATATTTGGAATTATTCCAAATAATTATGTGGTGGAGGCTCCTTCTTTGGAAGCTTTTAAACAGAGGCTGGATGGCCATCTGTCAGGGGTGCTTTGAATGCAATATTCCTGCTCCTTGGCAGAATGGGGTTGGACTGGATGGCCCATGAGGTCTCTTCCAACTCTAGGATTCTATGATTCTCAAAACTCCATAGCAAAACATGACCCAAAGGGAGTGGGAGAAATCTGGGAGAAGCAAGAGCCATGTTTGGATATTTGGAAGGGTGTTCCATTGAGGAGGAATGGGTGAGCTTGGTTTCTGGTACTCTGGAGACTGGGATGCAATAGAGCCATGGATTCAAATAGTGAAATCGAGGAAATTTCGAGCAGTTTGTGGATAATGAGACCTAGACAGTGGATAGTGAAACCCAATTCATGAATAACAAGAACCGACAAGCGAACAATGAGATCTGGTACTGGACTGCAGAGTCCGTTCCCCAATCAAAGAAGTCTCAACAGATGAAGCAGAAGCCACCAAGGTATTTTATTTATTTATTTATTTATTTAATTAATTAATTTACAGTATTTGTATACCGCTTTTCTTACCCCAAGAGGGTGGAAAGGATGACAGCCAACGGTAAGCTGCTCAAAGAAGCTGACATGTCATGATACAGATAAAACACACATTTTATACAGTTCAGTCTTTTTTTTTTTTTTTGCATGCATGCATGCATGTATGAATGCCCAGCTGGGGCTGGCTTCACGCTGATTGGCAGAGCTGGCTCTGATGTCACAAGCAGTGTGGATTATCCGGTTTGATTATCTGGATTATATGGCAATACAGAAGAGGCTAGAGTCCATTTCTCTGGGGGGGTTTTTAAGCAGAAGCTGGATGGCCATCTGTCAGGAGGGCTTGGATGGTGTCTTCCTGCCTGGCAGGAGGGGGTTGGGCTGGATGGATCTTGGAGGTTCTTCCAACTCTAGGATTCTAGGATTGTATGGCTGCAACTTTCCTTCTGCCAGTTTCACCTCTATGCAAAACACGAGGAAGGTGTGCTCATCTCACACCTCAAAGCCTGAGTGAGTCATTTGGCGCCTTGTTTGGGGAGCTTTGGGTGTAGCCTTGTCTGAACCCTAAAACAAAACAAAAACCCATTAGTCCTTTGGCTCATCCTCCTTTCTGGCCCTCATTGTTGTGTATTACTCAGCAACCTGTAAGATTGCAATGTGAGGCTGGGCAGGCAAAAGTGCGTGCTCCTTCCTGCCCTAAGGCAGAATCCAAAGAAGATGTTGGAGAAAAAGGAGCTCAGATAAGCATGTCCTTCTGGATCTGGAGAGTTGTGTAGGAACTGAGCTCACAAAGGGAATTTCCCAGTCCTGCCACCCAACACAGACCCGCATGCTCAGTGCTTTTCCTCATTTGGCGCAAAGGCTGTGTAGGTGCTGACCGATCAACAGGAATGGCAGTGTTTGGAACCTCATTGCAACTGAAGCCCGGTGCTTTCCAGGCAGGGAATTCCCCAGATGACACCTCTGGGAGTGAATCCTCCCCAAGACAAGGCTCAAGGAAGCCATGGGAGGATTGGGGCCCTGCTCTCTCCTCCTTCCCTCCCTTCAATAAAACCTTTGACAAGGTTCCCCAAGGCGTTCTCATAGAGAAGGTAATAAAATGTGGGCTGGGTAATGCTCCTGTGAGGCGGATTGGCAACTGGGTGACTGGCTGAACCCAAAGGGTGCTTCTCTACATAGAATCATAGAATCATAGAGTTGGAAGAGACCTCATGGGCCATCCAGTCAAACCCCATTCTGCCAAGAAGCAGGGATACATTGGTTTGCTCCTGATACAATAAATAAATAAAAACCAGCCTGCACCAATCAGAGCTCAGAGTGACAAAAGGTCAATGTTTGAATAGCTGTCAAACTCTTATAGATGTCTCTGTCTTTATGTCAGATTGGAGAAAGCAGGCCATCCTGGCATCCACTTTGGACGAGGGAATGAAGCCTCTGTCCTTTGCCTTCCCCTCATTCGTGTCTCATTTGACCTTCGGAGCCTAAGCATGTTGGGACCCTGAACCCGCAGGGAAGCTGAAGTCACATATCAAAACACACCACAAGAACGCCAGTGAGATGACTGGGCGAGCAAGCCCTTGTCCATCAGCCAGCTAGTCCTCTTTGCTGCTCTCATAACAGGGGTTGATGTAGACTTCGCTTTTTCGATTGCTTTCCCCATCCGCTGCAAAATCTTTGTGGTTCATCGGAGGCCAAGACACATCCCCGTCCATCTGCCTTTGTAGCTTCCGGTATTTGCTGGCGGAGTGGATCCGGAAGCGGGCCTTCACCCAGAGCCACAGGCGATGGTTCTCCAGGAGGGCATCCTGCAAAGAAGAAGGAAAGGAAGGCGTGTTTAGTAAGACCAGCTTTTGGAGAGAAATGAGAGAGGAATGTGATTGGCTGAGTTAGAGTGGGCAAAGGATAACTTGGCAAAAGGAAAAAAAATGTCTTTAAAGAGAGGTTATTAAATCCCTGTCAGGAGATTGAACTTGGGTGTTGAAGGGAGAGGGTGTTTGTAGTTTGGAGTGGTGTAGAGGGTTAGGAAAAGGCCTGAGACTGGCCAGAGTTGCTAGCAGGGTTAGCTAGTGAGGGGTTTACAGCTATTAGGAGGATAGCTTGGAAACAGAGAGATAGATCCAGGTTAGGACTATCTGTGCTGGTGGAGAATTACTGTCAGAGAAACTATCCTGTCAGGATTCTTGTGTGGAGGGAGAAAGAAGAGTTTCTTGTGTAATAAAGTCAGAACTGTTTATGTAACCACACGCTTTCTAGACAAATCTCTGTAACAGCCAAGTTTAGTACCTGCATTGTTCCTGTTCTTGTTAATAAACATTATTGTTTATTGCTCATCACATCTGACTCAAGTGTGCCTCTGTGCCTAAAGGTTTAAAAGAAGCTTTAAGCAGAAATCAAGAACTCAATGGTGGCAGCTTATGTTTTAAAGAAATAACTTTAAAGGGTACCTCAGAAACTCAAGCCTGAGGGCTAACACCATCACACTCTTTCACAAGTTACCTCAAGTAAGCCATGGGCTTATAAGCACTTCTAAGTAGATGGGTGCCAGTGCATTTTCAAAAAGGGTATTTTGGCCAGGAAGAAAGTACCAACTTTCTATCACAGCCTTTTGGTTTTTTGTTTTTTTTTGCTTTTAAAGTACCACATGCCACATTGGTGGGATTATTTTATTTCCCCCAGGTATTCCTCTGTCTTCTTTATAAATGCCCTCTACCTTTGGGACTGACTTTGAAAAGGGTCTGGGAACCTCAGATTATCCAGAAAGGTCAGTTCTTTATCCAGGAAGTTTTGGCTGAAGGCAGTAAGAGAAGAGGAAGAGCGTACTCAAGGCGGATCAAGAAAGTCATAGACACCCCGCATAAGGAAGGCTATTGAGAACTGGACTAGTGGGCACCCATCATTCATGGGGTTGCCATGGGTTTGACCCACATAACAACAACAAATCAAGGTTGAATGCCTACTGGAAGTCAAGGTGACTAGAGGAGAGTTGTCACACTTGAGAACATTATGGGATAACAGAAGACTTGGCTTGGATGGAGCCTTCCTGCTTGGAAGAAGGGGGTTGGACTTGATGGCCCTTAGGGTCCCTTCCAAGCCTTGAGGAGACCACTTCTGGTCCTTTGAGTTTGCAGGTCCTGAGCAGGGTAGGTAGTGGTTGAGGATTTTGGAGGAGAGATGGCATCTAAAGAGGGAAATGCAATCCTGGGTGTCACCATACAGTGTCCAGAACAGGGGGTGTTTCCAGGCCCATCTTTCCTGCTTTGATCAGACCTCACTTTGAATGCTGATCCAAGTGGAACCACACTTCTTAAGGAAGGTATGGACAAGTTGGGAGGGGTCAGAGAGGGATGTTTGTAACCATCAGAGGTTTGGAAACGATGACCTCCTCTGAGGAGCTGATGAAGGCATGATAGAATTCCATAGCACATATATTGGAAAATATATTGGATGTAACCATATTAGAAATAGGAATTAGAAAATATATATGAAATCACAAAGGGATATGTATGCACTTGGGAAAATATTCTCTTCTTAAAAGCTGCAAATTAGGTGCCACAAAGAGGCCAGAAAGAGGCCATGGTCTAGGAAAGGAATGTCTAAAGCTTTTGGCAAATACCAGGAGCCATACCAAGTAGGGCTGATCATAAGATTAATGAGCCTGGCCATCAAGAGGCTTCTTCAGAAGGGACTTATCTCAAGTAGCCGATAGCAGACACTATGGTGCTATGGTCCACTAATAAGCAGCTCTTTAGATAAAGGTGCTTAATGGAAGATTGAAAGGTGTTGAAGTTAAAATATGCTATTGAAGTCAATGTAAAAATGGAATTTTGTGACACACATGGTGATGCTTGTATGATGCATGCATATTATTTTAAAGGATATATAAACCAATTCTTTTGTTCAGCACCCTGTTTCCTGGACTACCAGCAGGGTCCATATCCGGTTGGCACCAACTGAGAATAAACTGTGCTTTTACAGACCCCAGGAACTCTCTTTGGTCTCTTTTCCTCAAGCCTTCTCCCTGCCATTTCAGAGTGACCAAGGGAGATGGGGAAGCGTAGCTTGGAGAAGAGAAGGCAGAGAGGGGGGGACATGAGACCCACATTGAAAGGATGTCACAGAGAAGAAGGTTTTTTTCCTGTTTCTAGCAGATGCAGCAGTTTGGAAGAAAAAGAGCTTCTATCTAAACATTAGAAAGGAACTCAGGACTGGAAACATTGTTTAACAATGGAATGGTCCACCTTGAAGGCTGTTGGGCTCTCCATCTTCGGAAAGCTAAAAACAGAGACTTGTAGGAATGCTTTAGTTATGCATTTCTGCAAGGAAGAAGGAGACTCAGACTGAATGGCCCTTGGGTCCCTTCCAGCTCTAAGATTCAATGAATCTTTGATCCCACCTCTCTCATTCATGGGGTTGAACCCAGCCTTGCTGTATATCACAACAATAACAGCAAAGCAGTCCTCATTTTCTAGAGCAATGGTTCTCAACCTTCCTAATGCCACGACCCCTTGATACAGTTCCTCATGTTGTGGTGACCCCTGACCATAATATTATTTTTGTTGCTATTTCACAATTGTAATTTTGCTGCTGTTATGAATCATGTAAGCATGCAGGATGTATTTTCATTCACTGGACCAAACTTGGCACAAATACCCAATATGCCCAAATTTGAATACTAGTGGGGTTGGGGGGAGGGACTGGTTTTATCATTTGCTGGGATTTATAGTTCACCTACAATCAAAGAGCATTCTGGTCTCCACCAATGATGGAACTGAACCAATCTTGGCACACAAGACTCCCATGGCCATCAGAAAACACTAGCAGGGTTTGGTGGGCATGGATCCTGAGTTTGGGAGTTGTAGTTCATCTACATCTGTGGACTCAAACAATGATGGATCAGGACCAAATTTGGCACGAATATTCCATATGCCCAAATGCAAACATTAGTGGAGTTTGGGGGGAAATAGACCTTGGCATTTAGGAGTTGTAGTTGCTGGGATTTATAGTTCACCTACAATCAAAGAGCATTCTGAACTCCACCAACAATAGAATTGGACCTAACTTTCCATACATAACCCAGATGACCAAGAGAAAATACTGTGTTTTCTGATGGTCTTCGGCAACCCCTCGGACACCCTCTCGCAACCCCCCAGGGGTCCTGACCCCCAGGTTGAGAAACACTGTTCTAGAGCATCTCGGATGGGGGACGATTAATAAGTAATTAAATATGATGATGATGAATATGATTTTCTGGTGGACTGCTTTGCTGTTATTGTTGTGATGTATGGCAAGGTTGGGTTCAGCCCCATGAATGAGAGAGCTGGGAGGCAATGGCGAAACAATGCTCTTCCCAATCAAGAGCTTGACATGAAAAGGTCTGCTGTCCATCGTTCACTCCATGCTTAGTTCTGGAAATGCTGAACTGAGGGCCTGCTTCCTCCCCAAGTGTTTGAAGGCAACCCCCGCTCCCCTTTTCTCAGCCTCCATTGGGCCAGGTTCCAACAATATTGCTTACCATTCTTCTCAGACAGGAAAACTGAAGTCAAGGGAAACTTAAGAAGGAGAAACCTAAAAATTCACAGTGGCTGCTTACCTCCACAAAAAAGGAGACGGCAAACCGGACTGCCATCATGACCAGAATCCAGACCCTCCAAAGAGTAGGGATGCAGAGGAGCTGCAGGAAAGAAAAGGGGGTCAGGAAGAGGTCTGGGGCACCCCATTTGAGAGGGACCATACATATATACATACGAAGCCAAAGATGCTATTCTGGCTTTTCAAGGGACGCAGCTGCCTCAAACTGACTTACAGAGAAGACAATGGCATGCCTGGGAAGCCACCACAAAGCATAGGGTTGGACCCATTGGCTTTGTATTGGTGATACCTTTGGGGTCAGTGGTGCCCCTGTATTTTTGCAGTGCATTTTCTGTACCTTTGGCCCCGCAAAAGACACAGATCCTAGAACTCGGTGCTGGACAGTTTGCCTTGTGGAAGGGAGGAAATACTTCCCATGGATGTGGACAATGTCTCCAACACAACCTTCTGCTCAGAGCTAGAGCTGCACAAAAGACCCAAATGGGCCAAACTTAGTGCCTCCCAGCAAGCTCCTTCAGTCTAAGCCTCCACCATGTAATACACCTGATGAGCCTCCATCTGCCCTCAATGACATGGAGGACAACAGTGGTCCTCTTGGGCATTTGGCACCTGCCTCAGAAAGTCAGTGTGGTTATTTGGCGTCAGATGGACTTTAATATATGAAGGGCAGATGTCCAGAGCTTCTGTTCTTGAGGGTCTTTCTTAAGAAGAACAGCTTCTTCATCCAGGGCTTTTTGGAAGAGAACGGTCTTGCAAAACTACAACTCCCAGGATTCCATAGCACTGAGTTAGGGCAGCTCAAGAGAAGCCAAATCACCTTCATTGTATGGTGTAGGGTATCTCACCAAACATCCCAGGATTCCATATGACCAAGCAATCACAGTTAAAGTGAAGTCAAACTGTATTCATTTGACAGTGTATATGCATCCCATGTGCTCCAATTCTGGTTTCTCATTGCCCAGGCATGTTCTAAATGTACTATGGGCAGATGCTGGTCCACAAGCCATTGGTCCCAGCTGAACTTCTGGGAAAGGAAGGAATAATGGTAGCCAATGGTCATGACTATGTTAGTGGTCCATTGACCATTCCCTTACATCAGATTGGCCAAGAGATGATTTGCTTGCAAAGGGAATGGGACATGCCTCTTCCTCAGAACACCTTGTAGACCAGTGGTTCTCAACCTGGGGTCCCCAGATGTTTTTGGCCTACAACTCCCAGAAATCCCAGCCAGTTTACCAGCTGTCAGGATTTCTGGGAGTTGAAGGCCAAAAACATCTGGGGACCCCAGGTTGAGAACCACTATTGTATACTCACCTGTAGCCCCTTGTACACAACATCTGTATCGGCAAAGAGAATGAACACCGAAATCCCGAACCAGATGGACATCAGGCAGGAGAAAACATCTGGGGAAAATCAGGGAAACAAAAGGGGAAAGGCCCAATTAATCCCATGATGCTCTTCCTGTAGCAGATTGGAAAGGAGGACTTCTGGCCCAGGATACCTCTGGAAGGCCTAGAAAATCCTTAGTGAGGACATACTTCATCAGATGTGGAAACCATGGAGATCTGATAGCCATGTATAAATATGTGAGAGGAAGCCACAGGGAGGAGGGAGCAAGCTTGTTTTCTGCTTCCTTGGAGACTAGGACGCGGAACAATGGCTTCAAACTACAAGAGAGGCGATTCCATCTGAACATTAGGAAGAACTTCCTGACTGTGAGAGCCGTTCAGCAGTGGAACTCTCTGCCCGGAGTGTGGTGGAGGCTCCTTCTTTGGAAGCTTTTAAACAGAGGCTGGATGGCCATCTGTCAGGGGTGATTTGAATGCAATATTCCTGCTTCTTGGCAGGGGGTTGGACTGGATGGCCCATGAGGTCTCTTCCAACTCTTTGATTCTATGATTCTATGATTCTATGATCTGTCATCTGTCATCTCAAAACCTCACAAATGCAAAATCGCAAGCACGTCTGGTGGGGACGAGAGACAGAGCCTTTTCTGTGGTGGCCCCTCGGCTGTGGAACTCCCTGCCTAGGGATATTAGATCAGCCCCCTCCCTCCTGACTTTCCGAAAACGAGTAAAAACTTGGCTCTTTGAGCAAGTATTCGGAACCCTGGAATAAATAGACAAACAAGAGCTGGAAAATCACCCAGGAACGACCAAGACAATGGAACGGTTGAGGATTGAATTATGGACTGTCTTTATGTTTAAATGCACTTTAATGTTTTTGCTTTATTAATGTATATATTTTTATTGCATCGAATTGTTCCGACTGTGTATACCGCCCTGAGTCACCTCCGGGCTGATATGGGTGGGATAGAAATGATGTAAATAAATAAATAAATAAATTACAACCAGGAAAGGCCTCAGGAAATAACACTCCTGATATCACACTGCTTAGCACTCCTGTCGAAAGCCTGAAATACTGGGAATGTATTTGGACTCACAGTTAGTGTAGACGGGCTTCCGGAAGGGCCTCCCTTTGCAGAAGATGAAAGCCAGGATGCAGCAGTCGAGGCAGCACAGGTGGTAGATGGTGGTGTCCTCGTAGCTCAGCACCGGGTGACCTACGGCCAATGTGCCTTCGGAGGAGTGGTTGCCAGAGGGGCACGGGCTGGAAGGAAAAGCAGACCCCAGATATGGCCTCTTCCATCATCCCAACCTTCTACTCTCTGTCTCTCTTGGGTCCCTTGTTTTTGACCTGGAGCCACATGCTCTGGTCTTAACATGAGTCAGGGATGGAGCCCAAAAGAGCCTTGTTTGCTTAAAAGGACCAGAAGTGCTGCCAGGATCACAGCTTCCAGGATGGAGACCTTCAGAGTAGTCAAAGTTTTCCAAGCATTTCGTGCTGGTGAGATCCTTTTTAGACATCATATGCATCATTTCGTGACACAGTAATTCAGTTGTACTAGCAAACCGAAAGGTAAGTCAACCCCTTATAAGAAAACAAACAAACATATATATATATATATAAATATATAATTGTATCTTAAATGATCTTGACAGATTAGAGAGATGAACGACAAAAACTAACAAAATGAAGTTCAACAGGGACAAATGCAAGATACTCCACTTTGGCAGAAAAAACGAAATGCAAAGATACAGAATGGGGAATGCCTGGCTCGAGAGCAGTACGTGTGAAAAAGATCTTGGAGTCCTCGTGGACAACAAGTTAAACATGAGCCAACAATGTGATGTGGCGGCAAAAAAAGCCAATGGGATTTTGGCCTGCATCAATAGGAGCATAGTGTCTAGATCTAGGGAAGTCATGCTCCCCATGCTCTATTCCGCTTTGGTTAGACCACACCTGGAATATTGTGTCCAATTCTGGGCACCACAATTCAAGAGAGATATTGACAAGCTGGAATGTGTCCAGAGGAGGGCGACTAAAATGATCAAGGGTCTGGAGAACAAGCCCTATGACGAGCGGCTTAAGGAGCTGGGCATGTTTAGCCTGAAGAAGAGAAGGCTGAGAGGAGATATGATAGCCATGTATAAATATGTGAGAGGAAGCCACAGGGAGGAGGGAGCAAGCTTGTTTTCTGCTTCCTTGGAGACTAGGACGCGGAACAATGGCTTCAAACTACAAGAGGAGATTCCATCTGAACATTAGGAAGAACTTCCTGACTGTGAGAGCCGTTCAGCAGTGGAACTCTCTGCCCTGGAGTGTGGTGGAGGCTCCTTCTTTGGAAGCTTTTAAGCAGAGGCTGGATGGCCATCTGTCAGGGGTGCTTTGAATGCAATATGCCTGCTTCTTGGCAAATGGGGTTGGACTGGATGGCCCATGAGGTCTCTTCCAACTCTTTGATTCTATGATTCTATGATTCTATGAGGAAACCTCCTCCTCCTCCCCCCTTTCCTCCTCCTTCTTCTGGTGTTAATTATGTTTAATGTATTGTGGGAATCACTGGGGTGTTGTGTGGTTTCCGTGGTGTATGACCGTGTTTCTAACAACATTTTCTCCTAACGTTTTGCCTGCATCTGTGGGCAAGGCACCTTTTGAGGATTTATTATGTCTATTTATACCTTGCTTTTTCTCTCTACCAAGGAGACTCACATCTCATGAAAACCTTTCATTTTATATTTTCAAAATCATATGCTTTATTGCTTATCCCACATAGGCTTAGAGACTTCTTGTTACGTTCATGCAACAACACCCACACACAGCAGCTGAGACACACATTTTTGTAACCCACAGTTTAGAAAGTAGGCTTGGTTGATCAAGAAAAAAAAATGGTTCTAAACTCGTTTCGTATATAGGGGGCGCTGGCATTCCGATTTTAAAATTATTTCTGGACTTTTCTTGAAAAAAAGATCGGAAATAGCAAAAATATGAATAACTTCGTTTACTTCATTAATGGAAGGTGGCCCTCCTCCCTGTTAGTTTAAAATCTCGCAGTTTCCCTGGTGACAAGTGGCAATGCGGAAGGGCAAGGTGGGCGTAGCCATGCCCACCTCCTCCCTCTGCCATCCATTGCTGTTCACAGTCACCCAGAGAAGGGAAACTGCGAGATTTTAAAACGAATCTCGCATTTTCCCTTCCCTGGGCGACTGCAAACAGCGATAAATGGCAGAGGAATGAGGTGGGTGTGGCTACGCCCAGGTCTTCCTGAAGGCCACGCCCCCAGTGACCTTCAGGAACAGCTGTACCCACTGGGGCGTGGCCTTCAGGAACAGCTGTTCTTAGCCACGCCCACCTCCTCCCTCTGCCATCCATCGCCGTTCGCAGTCACCCAGGGAAGGGAAACTGTGAGATTAGTTTTAAAATCCCGCAGTTTCTCTTCCCTGGGTGACTGCGAACAGCGATGGATGGCAGGGGAATGAGGTGGGTGTGGCTATGCCCAGCTCTTCTTGACAGCCACTGGGGGCATGGCCTTCAGGAAGAGCTGGGCGTAGCCATGCCCACCTCGCCCTTCCGCATCGCCGCTTGTCGCCAGGGAGGCCAGGGAAACTGCGAGATTGTAAAACTTGGACCAGACATCCGAAAATAATTCCGAAAAATGGGTAAATTGTTTCAATTCGTAATTACTCCTCACACTATTCCAGCATGGCTCGAAATTGTTTCAAAAGTCAATTTAATACAATTTTAATCCGATTTTAGAAGCTTCCGAACAAAATCAACCAAGCCTATTAGAAAGCTCTGATCTAGGGATGCAAGGAAATCTGGTGCATAGGAAGAAACCACTGAGGAGCAGCTAAAGCCAAGTGAAAATGGCTGCCCTTAGGATTTGCACTTGCACTGTACAGGTAAGGTCACTTGACAACTGCATGAACTGTCATGGTTTAATATATAAAAAATCGTGTGAGTAATAGTTTTGCAAGGTCTTTAGCCTTCTCTGCCAAAGAGTGTTGGAGGCTCACCAAACAACAACTCCCAGGACTCCATAGATTGGAGGCATAGTGGTGAGATGCAGTGTCAAATAGCATTCATTCCCTAGTATAGATGCACCCAGAGAAGGGTAAATGAATATCTAACCGAATTACAACTCTCAAGATTCCATGGCACTGAGCCATGGCAGTTCAAGTGCTGCAAAATGGCATCCATCCCACGGTGAAGATACCCCCATGGCCTCTGTCTGGAGAGCTCACCTGTAGGAGCGCACCTCTGCATACCAGGGCTGCTGCTTGACAAAGATGAAGCCACAGGTTTGGATGACGAGCGCCGAGAGGATGCTGAAGATGATGGAGGCCAGAAGTGGCGGGGAGATGAGGCGCCCGGAGGGGCGGAAGGGGGCCAGCCTGGGGTGGGCCTGCGTCAGGCTCACTACAAAGGGAAGGAAAGGAGAGGAACAGTCAAGGATGGATGGAGGGAGTCCTAAGGCATCCCCATCCTATGCAACAACAATTATCTTAAACCCAACGGCCAGAAAGGACAGCCAGACTGGAGCTGGGCAGAAAGAGTGGCAGGACCACAAAGTGTTGCACTCCAGGACAGGAAAAGCCCTCTGACGTTAAACACCACACCGCTGGATAGAAAACAATCCTTTTATTGAAGATAATTAAAAAGCAGTAAAGTAAAAAAGCACTTTAAAGAAATAAGTAAATCCAATTAGGTAGGAAGATAAGCAGGAACAAAGTAGTCCAGCGTAATAGTCGAGCAAAGTCCATAAAAACAAAGTCAAAACTTTCCAAATAAAATCAGGAAACATGAATCCAAGGCATGAATATAGAAGCATAGAAACCAAGAATCAAAACCATGAAACAAAGGTACTTATAGCATGAATTTTCCAAGCAAAGCTTCCATGAACAAGGACGAGATCTTGACTTGATTCCAAATGATGCTTCATCTGACTACATTTCCTGTGCTTGGGACTTTTATCTCCTCGTTAACTATGTCTCTAGCATTCAGAAATTGGTTTCGCTTTAGCTGAGAATTTCTTATCTTTTTCTCTCAGAGCCTGGCAGAATGCCAAAGCCAGTGTTCGGCTCTCCTGTTTTGACTGATCTCCTCCCCTCTATCTATTTGCTCATTAATTTCTGCAGCTGGGCCAGGTGCCGAACTATTTTCATGTCCCCTATCATGGGAACTCTCTGGTAACAATTCAGAAAGCACACCATCATCCCCACACCCTTCAGGGACATTCTCATGGGAAACTACACTTTGAATAAAGATCTCCTGGTCATTCTCTACATCAATATCTCTTCATCAAGATGGCCAAACCATTGCCATCTTGGAACTCATTTGCAACTCATTGACATCACTCCCCACATCTAAAGCACCTGATCCCAAAACGCAATCACAGGCTGAGCTCAACATCTCTGTTTTCACTCCTTCATTGGAAAGGGTTGGAGAAAAGGGAAGGTGACCAGGAGCACAGAGATAAGGGTCGCCAAAGCACCATCAGAGATTGCTAGGTTTGGAATCATGCAGAGGCCTTTTTGGTGGTTTGCTCAAAACCGCAGGAACCCAGCAGAACTTGGACCCAAGCTCAGCAGAACTTGGACCCAAGCAAGGGTTTGTTCTGGCAAGCTGCTCCCAGCAAATGGGACCCAATGCTAGGTCTGCCAGCAGCGTGGGCATGCCACATCGTGAGGGCACGGTTTGCCCCTCACTCAGCAGTGCTTGCTCCCAACCCCACAGAGATACGAGGAGAGGAATGGGAGAAAGCAGGACAAAAGACAGGCTGCTTACTTGTCAGGCAGGCAACCATGGCAATGCCATCCTGTAGGAGGAACTGGTAATTCCCAAGAAGCTGCATTTGCTGAAAGAAGAAAAGGAGTCAGAGGGAGATCGTCCACATTAGGTTTCCATCAACATATATCAGACAGAAGACTCCGTCAAAAGGGCCCCTGTATGGCAGAGTCCATGGCCATCTTGCAAGTTGGTTTCCTCTCTTGGAGTATAATGCCAGATATGGCATGCACCCACCTCTTCAAAAAATGACCCCCTGTTGATATCTGGGCAAATGGAGTAGATGAGACCTATGAAGTCACCTGTCTGGGAGTTCTCTCTTCACTTCCAAGGCATTTCCAATTTTTGGAGATCCTGTTATGAGGTTTGCTAGGCCTGAGAGTGTGTAACTTGCCCAAGGTCACCAATGGGCTTCCATGGCTGAGCAGGGATTCAAACCTAGGTCTCTCAAATCACTCAGATGCTACCATGGGTCTTCTTTGTTTAGCCCGATATCCTTAGGATAGTTTCACCTTTCCCGTTCTGATTCCATCTAGCTGTACTTTTGCAAATATATCTTTCTAACTCCAGATGCAGTCCTAGAAATAAATCTTTTTATTTATGGTGGTGATAAGACAAAGGATATGATGGTAACTGGGCTCAAAATGCAGAAGCACATAACAAATGTTGGTCTGAATGCAACGTTTTCCTCTGGGAAGCCCTTCTTCCATCCCTAAAATGACTCTGAAACTCAGCACTACAGGACTCCTCCATGGAGGAGAAGAGCAAATTGAAACCAGTGGATTCTACACTCTGGTTCATTTGGAGCCTCCAAGAATGCTTCTCTAAGAACTAGCTGCTAGAATGGAAGAAATGCAGTTGTTATTCTTGGAGGAGTATGTTTTCCTTTGCAGAAAATATGCTCCAAGATGAGGCCAAATGAACCAGAATTTAGAACTGAAGACTATTTCTCCCTGCTATGCAGACATCTCTAAAAATGGGGTGCATTTTAGAATCACAAGGTGTATCTGAAGTATTTTTGTTGGTGGCAGTTGGGTGATAAAATTGTGTGATGCGTGCATTGAAGGAAATTGTATGAAAGGAGCATGACTGAAGCCTAGGTAAGGCTGAAGACACCATTCATGCYGTATCACTTATTTATATTGATTTTGCATCTTATATATTTTATTTTCTGATTTTCTGCTATGCTTTTATGTTATATGCATATGCTTTTGTGTTATATTGTGTTTACTGTATTGATGGATGTGGCCTCATGTAAGCYGCCTCRAGTCCCCTTGGGGGAGATGGAGGTGAGATATAAATAAAGTTGTTGTTGTTGTTGTTGTTATTATTATTATTATTATTATTATTATTATTATTATTATTATTATTTTTAYTAWKCTAAGMTGATGATGATGATGATGATGATGATGATGATGATKATKATTATTCTATTGGAAAACTACCAATGGAGGTTAAGAATTCATGAACTGCTGAACCRCTGACATGACCAGAGACAAATGATTAACTCTGTGGTGGAAAACAACATGTTTACATTACCAGAGACAATGACTCTTTTAAGTTAAGGAAATCAAACAATGCTTCTTATTTAAGAATAAAAACTAACATTGGTCAAGAACTGATGGAGCTAGCATGCTTTAGCTGGCAAAACAACCTGCCAATCATTTACAACTTTTTGGAACAACATCAGCAAGAAATAGGCTATATAAGAGACCCTTCTACTATCCAAAAGTGTGTCAGATCTGCAATGGAACACAGAGTCTAGTCACCCACCGCTTTCTCCAAGGGATGGAGAGAGATGGTATATTTGTAGACTGGCAGAACTGCTGGGAACGTGAACTGCCCTACGTGTGGGCCTCTTCTCCAGGAGCAGGAAGAAGGGACTGTAATGTATGCTTGATGGATGGATGAATGAATGTTTATGTGTGTGGATGCTGAGTCAAATTTAATATCGCCATTGTTTGTGTAAACAATGTAGTATATAGTCTGTGTATCTATCTTCTTTCTCTGTAAAGTGCAAGTGAAGAAATACAATCATTCTCCTCCACGGTGTAGATAGGAGACCCCATTGGTGCAATGGGTTAAACCCTTGTGCCCACAGGACTGAAGACCGACAGGTCAGAGGTTCAGACCCAGAGAGAGCATGGGTGAGTTCCCTCTGTCAGCTCCAGCTCCCCATGAGAGGACATGAGAGAATAATAGAATAGAATCATAGAATCAAAGAGTTGGAAGAGACCTCATGGGCCATCAAGTCCAACCCCATTCTGCCAAGAAGCAGGAATGTTGCATTCAAAGCACCCCTGACAGATGGCCATCCAGCCTCTGTTTAAAAGCTTCCAAAGAAGGAGCCTCCACCACACTCCGGGGCAGAGAGTTCCACTGCTGAATGGCTCTCACAGTCAGGAAGTTCTTCATGTTCAGATGGAAGCTTCTCACAAGGATGGTAAAACATCAAACCATCTGGGCAACATCACCTGGGCAATGTCCTTGCAGGCGGCCAATTTTCTCACACCAGAAGTGACTTGCAGTTTCTCAAGTCGCTTCTGACATGGAGGAAAAAAACCTAAAAAACCTTTTAGAGATCTGAAGGTTGCTTGACAGGTACCTCACTCTCCCCACTTAGGAGGCTATGTATCCCTTTTGTGGGGTTTTGGAGCATCTTAAAAGCCTGCCAAGACACACTGCCAGAAAGGGGCCAAAAATATGTTGATTTTGCTTTGTGTTTTCCTTTTCTTGGATGTTGGGTTCTTTCTGGCTCATGACAACTACATGGCGTGCACATGGAGGGATGCCACAAGAGAAGCAAGCTTTGTATTTTCCATTTCTTGGATGTTGGGCTCTCTCTGGCTCATGAGAAGTACATGGAGTATACATGGAGGGATGCCGACCCTTCTGCATCCGAATACATACCCAGTAAAGCAGGCAACAAGCAATGCAGTTAAGCATGCCATACAGGATCAGGTATTTGAACACTGCAAAGGAGGACACGAGGGCGGCACGGCCTTGCCTGCAATGGAGAAGGGGAGAACATGTTAAACATGGTATCGATCATCTCAAAGGTTTTCAGTTGAGGAGAAGGCTTCACACTACTATTGCTACCCATAGAAATGCATAGAACAGAGTGCAATTACTCTCACCAAGGCAAGCATTTGTGCTTGTGAGAAAAATGGCCATGCTCCAAATCCCAAAGTCCAGGAAAGGACAGGAAGGCCAGCCTTTTGAGAAATATCAATTTCTGCCAGTAGAGGGATGAACAGAGACAACCATTTACTGGTACACAACACAATCTCTATAAAAGTCAAATAATGTATGTTCTATATATATGTTGGATTCACAAAGGCTTGTACATGGCTTGATGGATCTGGACCAAACTGGGCGCAGATAACCTTCATTATTCTACTTAAAATACTGGTGGGGGTCAACTACAAAATCTATCCCATTTTGGAGTGAGGGTCCCTAGAAGTTAAAAAAAAATGGATATGGTGTTCAGATGCAAACACAAGATGGCAATATAAAGATAGAAAGGATTTACGACTGGTCTCTAGGTCTGTATGCATGCAATGCTCGGATGAAATGACAAGTCAATGACAAGGAGATTGACTATGTTACCACCTGGAAATTTGGTGGAGTCTCCTCTGGTTTTTGAGCAGAGGCTGATGTTAGGGATTCCTCATCTTCAGAAGAGGAAGGGGAGCAGGAAAATGTTCAGAAGAGGAATTGGAACCAGACAATGAGGTTTTGCAAGTGCTCACATTCCTGGAAAGGCGAGAGGAAACAGAGCACAGACGGCATTCAGCTAGAAAAGCTGCTAGAAATGCCGAGCTAATTGGGAGCCACCCTAGCACTTCCTGTGTGGGGAATTCAGGGCTATAATTCAGAAGCAGGACCAGTTAGTTTTTGTTACCACATTTCTAGAGAGACGAAAAGAGACAGAGCACAGAGGTGTTCAGCTAGAATAGCTGCTAGAAATGCCGAGCTAATTGGGAGCCGCCCTAGCACCCCCTGCGTGGGGAATTCAGGGCTATAATTCAGAAGCTTTCGCTGGTAACAAATTACTCTGATGCTGATGTCTTTGCTCCAATTGTACCTACTTCGAGTCTGCTTCTAAGGATTTAGTGATCATAGCCTGTTGTCTGATGTAAGACTGCTGTGTCTTTTGGACTTTATCAGAGAGTTGAGTTTTGTGTCTGCATTAAGACTTCCTTGCTTTCTTTTGCATTTTTCAACTGCATTTGCTGTTCTTTTGTGTTTGCTGAAGGAAAGCATTTTTCTTTTACTTTCAACATTGTATTAAGGTTGTTCTTGAAGGACAAACCAGGACAGCTGGATGGCCATCTGCCAGGAGGGCTTTGATTGTGTTCTCCTGCCTGGCAGAAGGGTTTAGAGTAGATGGCCCTTGCAATCTTTTCCAAGTCTAGAACTCTAAGATTCTATGAACAGGAAGGGGGAACTCTACACAAAGACCATCGAATTGATTCTGGTTGGGACGTGACATACCGGATGAGTTCTGGGACGCACTCGATGTTGGGGGTTTGGGAGGTGAAGGGCGATGCCACAGAGGCCTCCTGGTCCGAGAGAGAGATCCCGGCATGAGCCATCTTCAAAGCCTGAGGAAGGAAAAAGTAAAATGATTCGAGAGTCTGTGGCTGAATGTGACAATGATCTAGTCCAATTGTGGCACTCGGAGAAATGGCACCAAAAGGGGATACACTTCATCTACAGTGTGGGCCAAAACGAGGATATTTCTTCATCTCTCTCCCCCCCCCCCCCAATCCAGATAGTCAAAGGATGCAAGCTGTTGGTCATGGGGGTTTTGGCCCAATTCCATCGTTGGTGAAGTTCAGAATACTGCTCTCGAGCCAGGCCTCATCCCCCATTCTGTATCTTTGCATTTCATGTTTTCTGCCTAAGTGGAGTCTCTTGCATTTGTCCCTGTTGAACTTCATCTTGTTAGTTTTGACCCATCATCTTTCTCATCTTTAAAGATCCCTTTGAGTTATGCTCCTGTCTTCTGGAGTCTTGGCTCTCCCTCCCAATTAGGTCTTGTCTACTAGGCTTGGTTGATCCAAAAAAAAAAAAAAGGTTCAAAACTCATTTTGGATGTGGGGGGCACTGGCGATTTAAATTTTTTAAAATCCCGCAGTTTTAAAATCCCGCAGTTACCCTTCCCTGGCAGCGAGCGGCGATGCAGAGGGATGAAGTGGGTGTGGCTAAGCACAGCTCTTGTTGAAGATCACTGGGGGCATGGCCTTCAAGAAGAGCTGTGCTTAGCCACGGCCACCTCATCCCTCTTTGCATTGCCATTCTGAAAATCAAAATAACTGTGGGAGACATCCGAAAATAATTCCGAACAATGGGTAAGTGGTTTCAATTTGGATTTGCTCCTCCCACTATTCCTGCATGGTTCAAAATTGGTTCAAAAGGGAATTTAATCCCAATTAATTCCGATTTAAGAAGCTTCCGAACAAACTTGACCAAGGCTATTGTCTACATCACAAGCAAACGGCACAGTCATAATGGCTTACCCCACAGTCGTTGGCTCCATCACCGCACATCCCCACATAGTAACTGGAAGACAGGAGAGGACACAATTGAACAGCCAATCAAATAAAATAACACACCATGGCAGGATCATTTGTGAATGCAAAAGACAGACATAGATCCTTGCGATGAATGAATCTTGAGCATTTGGGCATAAAGACTACTTTTCTTCAAGGGGATCTCACAGAAAACATTTACATGGAGCAACCTACAAGATTTGAAGATAAGAATAACAGAAATCTTGTACGCAAACTGCAAAAGAGTATTTATGGACAAAAGCAAGCAACTAGAGCATGGAATGAGAAATTGAATCCAATGCTTCTTGAGAAGGGGTTTGCTCAAGGAAAGGCTGACAAGTTGCCTTTACTCCAGATCAGTGTTTCTCAACCTGGGGGTTGGGACCCCTGGGGGAGTCGCGAGGGGGTGTCAGAGGGGTCACCGAAGACCATCAGAAAACACAGTATTTTCTGTTGGTCACAGGGGTTGTGTGTGGGAAGTTTGGCCCAATTCTGTCATTGGTGGGATTCAAGGGGCTCTTTGATCGTAGGTAAATCCCAGCTGTAAATCCCAGCAATAACAACTCCCAAATATCAAGGTCTATTTTCCCCAAACTCCACCACTGTTTACGTTTTGGCATATTGAGTATTCGTGCCAAGTTTGGTCCAGATCCATCTTTGTTTGACTCCATAGTGTTCTCTGGATGCAGGTGAACTACAACTCCAAAACTCAAGGTTAATGCTCACCAAACTCTTCCAGTATTTTCTGTTGGTCATGGGAGTTCAGTGTGCCAAGGTTTGTTCAGCTCCATCGTTGGTGGAGTTCAGAATGCTCTATGATTGTAGGTGAACTATAAATCCCAGGAACTACAACTCCCAAATGACAAAATCAATCTCTCCCAACCCCACCAGTATTCAAATTTGGGCATATTGGGTATTTGTGCCAAGTGTGAATGAAAATACATCCTGCTTATTGGATATTTACTAGGGCTGGGCGGTTTCGTTTCGTTAATTCGTAATTCGTTAAAAATTCATTATTTTTTTGTTAACGAAGCGATAACGAACCATTCTGGAGCAACTTAAAAACGAAACGAATTTTTCAATTCGTTTCGTAAATGCTTCGTATTTCGTTATGTATTCGTTTCGTTATTGGTTTGAGGTCGTTTCGTTATTATTTCCGCATGTCTGGGGCAAGTTTTATAGTTGTTTTTTGTTTAATTAGTGAAAAAAAATATAATATCACACCAACAGTCAACAACAGAGGGAGAGGGAAGCTTCAGAAGTTTTTTTAGCGTATTGCGCGATCGCGGCCGCCATTAACGAATCGATTCGTTATTGTTTCGTTATTGTTTTGTAATTTTTTTTACCATTTACGAAATTTCGTAAATATCGAACTTTTTTTAAGGAAAATTTCGGAATTCTTTTAAATATCGAAACGCAAAAAACCCCAAAAAACGGATCGATTTTAGAAACAAATTTTTCCGTTGTTACCCAGGCCTAATATTTACATTAGGATTCATAACACGAGCAAAATTACAGTTATGAAGTAACAACAAAAATAATTTGATGGTTGGGGGTCACCACGACATGAGGAACTGTATCAAGGGGTCGCGGCATTAGGAAGGTTGAGAAACACTGCTCCAGATACAAAGATAATAAATGGACATATATTCCGACTTATGTTGATGACATCATTATCTGTTTTGACGTTGTATGCCTGAAAACAGGGAGCTCTGGCCTGGCCTGGTCTATGAGGTCACAAAGAGTAGGAAGTGATTAAACAAATAAACAACAACAATTACTACTAAAAATACCCTTCTTCTCTCTCTCTCTCTCTCTCTCTCTCTCTCTCTCTGTTTTAGGGTCAAATGACTTACTCCAGTTTCTGGAACTCCTCAACCAGGCTGGACTTCTGCCCTGGAGACATCCGTGCAAACACAGTCCCATTCACAAGAATCTGAGGAAAGCCAAATGAGTGTATCTTTAAGAAATGACCAATGATTATTCCATTTGCAAGAAAGGCCCACCAGCACTGGAAACCATTCCAAGCCCTCCGACTGACCCTCCGATTTACCTTTGGCAACAAATGGCTGAAGTACTTCTGAAGCACCTGAAAGGTCTTCCCGTTCAAAGCAAAGTGGAAATTGCTGGTGCTGCTGCCATCAATGGTGATGTAGGGGTCCTGGAAGTTAGGTGGAAATTATCTCCATGCATAATCTCTGTGGACCTTTTAGAGCTATTCCAAGTCAGTGCACACAGCAAAGCAGAGAATCATAGAATCATAGAATCAAAGAGTTGGAAGAGACCTCATGGGCCACCATCCAGTCCAACCCCATTCTGCCAAGAAGCAGGAATATTGCATTCAAATCACCCCTGACAGATGGCCATCCAGCCTCTGTTTAAAAGCTTCCAAAGAAGGAGCCTCCACCACACTCCGGGGCAGAGAGTTCCACTGCTGAGCGGCTCTCACAGTCAGGAAGTTCTTCCTCATGTTCAGATGGAATCTCCTCTCTTGTAGTTTGAAGCCATTGTTCCGCGTCCTAGTCTCCAGGGAAGCAGAAAACAAGCTTGCTCCCTCCTCCTCCCTGTGGCTTCCTCTCACATATTTATACATGGCTATCATATCCCCACTCAGCCTTCTCTTCTTCAGGCTAAACATGCCCAGCTCCTTAAGCCGCTCCTCATAGGGCTTGTTCTCCAGACCCTTGATCATTTTAGTCGCTCTCCTCTGGACACATTCCAGCTTGTCAATATCTCTCTTGAATTGTGGTGCCCAGAATGGACACAATATTCCAGATGTGGTCTAACCAAAGCAGAATAGAGGGGTAGCATTACTTCCTTAGATCTAGACACTAGGCTCCTCTTGATGCAGGCCAAAATCCCATTGGCTTTTTTTGCCGCCACATCACATTGTTGGCTCATGTTTAACTTGTTGTCCACGAGGACTCCAAGATCTTTTTCACACGTACTGCTCTCGAGCCAGGCATCCCCCATTCTGTATCTTTGCATTTCGTTTTTCCTGCCAAAGTGGAGTATCTTGCATTTGTCCCCGTTGAACTTCATTTTGTTAGTTTTGGCCATCATCTCTCTAATCTGTCAAGATCGTTTTGAATCCTGCTCCTGTCCTCTGGAGTATTGGCTCTCCCTCCCAATTTGGTGTCGTCTGCAAACTTGATGATCCTGCCTTCTAACCCTTCATCTAAGTCATTAGTGATAAAAAGGGAGAGAGTGCTGCTCAAAAGTGCTCCTGGGACAAGAATGGCCCTTGAGTCCTCTCCTTTTGCTGGACTTGGCACAAAACCAGAGCAGACCTGGGATCAGAATGATCCCCCAGTCTCTTCTTGCTTTTGAGATGCTGGGCCTGGCATAAAACCAGAGCAGACCTGGTGCCCAAGCTTCTTATTGGTTCACCCGCCAAACAATGACAGAGCCACCACTGGAAGCAATGCCCATGTGTGTAATGCATCCCCTACTCCTTGCTCAACCTTCTGTTGATGCCCAGTTCCTTCCATGGAGAAACAAGCCCCCAACCATGAGATCTGGGCTTCAAAAACTTCTTGCATTCTTCGTCCATGAATGCAGGGGATCTAGCCTACGATAATATTTATTTACAGTATTTATATTGTGCCTTTCTCACCCCACAGGGGCTCAGGGCAGATTACAATGTACACACATATATGGCAGACGTTCAGTGCCAAAGACACACATCAGATATAGACAGACACTCAGAGGCTATTTAACTTTTCTGGCCTCCAGGGGAGCTGTTGCTTTCATTGTCCATCTGTGACACTGATGAAGTACTTCCGCATTCCCCGCATGCTTTGCTTTGCTGGAGTCTTTTTATGGCCTCATAAATTAGTTAAATTAGCTTCCCTACACATAGGTGGTACCTAATTTTCCTACTTGACTGATGCAATTGTCTTTCGGGTTGCAAAGGTCGACAACAAGCTACACAATTGGTTGGAAGCTCACTCCGACCCAGGGTGGCTTCGAATTCATGACCTTTTGGTCAGAAGTGATCTTAATGCAGCTGACACTCAGACAGCTGCGCCACAAGCCCGCTGAATGGTCAACTATTGACCTGGGTCTTGGGAGGGATAGTCCTGGGTCTAAGATGTGGAACTTGGACCAATCCCTCTGGTGCTGCCCTCTCTCTTAGGGATGTTGTGAAGATAAAGTGGAAACCCATGTGCTGAAACTGGCATAGGACTTCTATCTTTAGACTCAGGGATCGAGGACTCTTTGCCCTCCGTCAACAAATCTGTATCTGTTTAATCACTTTTATCACTACTTGGTTGCTTGTCACAAATACAAATGTAAGATGACAAGGCAAAGTTGTGCTCCCACAGAAGTTGAGGAAGCAAGAAGCCATTTTGTTCCTTTCTGCTTTATTGTCTTAGAAGGCACTAGGAATCTGAGTGAGTGTTTAAAATTAGCTGCTGAGTGTTTGCTTTGTTTGATAGGCGGGGCGAGGCTCATTGTTCTCAGTGAGTCTGAGTGAGTCAGAGTGAGTCGTTGCTGCTTCCTGTTTACCCTATATAAGCCAGGGTCTGAACTCAAGTGGCAGTTGTGCTCCCACAGAAGTTGAGGAAGCAAGAAGCCATTTTGTTCCATTCCATGACAAGAATACCACGGCCTCCCTCCATGCGTCCATCCTTCCCACTTAAATGTCTGTGAAGGACTCCTCACTTGTTTTTTCTCCTTGCAGAGCTCGGTGTCTTCCATAGTCTGCCAAGTGACGGATGCCGGATGGGGATCCTCTGGATCACTAGCTTCCACCAGGATGACTCTGTCTCCTGAAGGGATCATGCCGGAGTTCCTGCTCACCGTGATGGCTGTCTCCAGGTTGTCACCTGCAAAGGAGAAGGAGAAGCCCAGGGATTGAGTCTCAAGGGAGCTTTGCTTGGCCTCAAGGCACTGATGGAGCACTGGCTACATCACAGCAGTGGCTCTGCCCACTCTCAGTGCATGGATATCCCATAAAAGAAAGAGGCAGAGAAAAAGAGGAGTGGTGGTACCTGTGACCATGACGGTCCTGATGCGGGCTTCACTGAGCTCCTCCAGGACAGGCCTGGTCTCACCCTTCAGCCGGTTCTCCATGACCAGGAGGCCCAGGAAGGTCAGGCCGGACTCTAACTCATCCCTTGGAAGAAGCAGAAGCAACATTCATAAACTCCTATGGTGAAAGAGGCTCCCAAGGGCCATCTAGTCCAATCTCCTTCTGCCATGCAGGAAGACAAATGAAAGCACTCCTGGCAGATGGCCATCCAGCCTCTGTTCCAAAATCTCCAAAAACTCACTGACATTAGATAGCCCACTAGAATTGAAAAGACCTTAGAGGCCATCTGGGCACAGATGAGGACTGAATAGGTTTTAATTTTTTTTATTGTTTACTGGTTTGATGTTTTTGGATATAGTGTAATGTGATGCTTTATTTTTATTGATGTATTTTATATATGGCATCGAATTGTGCCCATTGTTCGCCGCCCTAAGTGACCTTTGGGCTGATATGGGTGGGGTATAAATTATATAAATAAAATAAAATAAATAATAAATCTATTCCAACCCCTTTCTGCCACAACTAGATCACTCCCCAAAGATGCCCACCCAGCCTCTGCTATTTTAAGTCATTGGAAGCCACCTTAGATCCCATGGAAGGAGAAAGGCTGGGTATACACAGAGTTATATAAACAAACAAACAAATAAATAGTCATCTTTGTTATGCCAAGGAGTTATTCCTGAAGTAGTCTCAGCACTTTGGACAACCTCTTAAAGTTCTCACTAGAACGAGGAGAGTTGATTCAAACCCTGCTTATCATCACCGTTGAGTCATACATCTGACCATGTTTCCTTGGTTTCAGTTTCTCTTGGTGGTTTTTAATGGATACCTGGCCGAGATGGGCCATTGGTAGCCAATGCCAGGCCTTACCTGTCCAGGTCTCTGAGGCTGTCCCCTGCATCCAGAGAGAGCTCTTTATGGGCCAAGGCAATGACCCGGAAGCCCTGCGCTGTGAAGGACTTCAACTCCGCTTGGAAGGAGGATGGCACTGGAGGGGAACATGGAGGAAGGAGGCATTGAGTGCCAGGCACATGGGCTCTGTGGTCAGAGGAAGAATTGTCCCCAAAGCTGGGTGTGGTTAATATCAGGAGGACCTACAGATGCTTCAGGACCAGAACACATCACCCATTGTAGCAGCCCCACTGGGATATCTGGCTCCATTGATGACCACACTTTGGCACTGAAAGGAGGGAATAGGCAAGCCAGGAATCCCATGAGAGGGTATGTATGTCCTTGCAGAAGATAAGGCATGTCTTACGGTGACACAACGCATTACATTAAAAGCATTGAGTGAGTGCTACACCTGCGGAATCTATATAAATAAAAATGTAATGTTCGTTTGTGGGATTAACGTAATTCAAAAACCTCTAGGATGAATTGACACGAAATTTGGACACAAGACACCTATTAGGCCAACGAGTGTCCATCACCCATAAACACACACACATGCACACACACAAAGCCCCAGCGAAACAGACTTAAAAACACAAAAAATACACCATATATACATATACACATACACTCATATACATATGCACATGCACACATTCATACACACACACATATAGATATACACATGCACGCATATACATATCCACATACATACATATACACACAAATATGCATATAGACAAGCACACACATATCCACAATATGCACGTATACATATAAACACACATATATACACAAACCCATATATATACTCCCATATATATATACGCAAGCGCATATATACACACATATACACAGCAGACTGGGCCACAGCAAAGCGTGGCAGGGGACGATTAGTGTGGAATATAATAATAATGCATATTATTCAACACCAGCCAGGCTGGGAAAGAGATATCTTCACCAGGGTTTTTATGCAGGAGACATTTGGACACTTTATACCAGTGGTGACTCCTGTCTGGACCCCAAAGCCAGAATATCCAAGAGCAGAGACTTTGGCCAGAGACACCCTCAGGCCGGACTTTCCTTCCCTACCGGTCTTTGGATGGCAGAAGCTGGCCACCATCTCGGGGGCTCCCTTCATGTAGAGTCCGTGGGTGTTCTTCCCCAGCTCTTTGGTGATGACCGACATCCGCAGCAGAGAGGAGGAGAAGGGGAACTGGTGCAGGATGGCCATCCCTTCCAATGGGGCCTGAAGAGGGAGAAGCACGCGGGTGAGATCATGGCTGTTGGAGTGGTTTGAAATATGTAATGTAGATTTCAAAGTATGTATGTATGTATGTTAAAAATGCAATGCTATGTGCCGAGAGTATTCCTGTGTGGAAAAAGTTAATTGTACCATGAAGGGAATGGCATTCCTAGAGAGGTCATAAATCTAAGTGTATAGAGCAATAGACGCAGCGTCATGTGTCGTGCATCATACTTCACTCTGGAATGCAGGAGGTGTGGACTAGTACTGATAACAGCGTGTTCGCAATGTAGCTACTGGACGGAGAGGAAGAAGTTTTACGATGTGCTACTGTGTATAGGTGTAAATAGTTTATAGCCTAAAGGTGGCTGTGATGATCGTGTTCCTTGCCTTGCTGTGCAGCCGATGCCACTGACATTGGCATCATTAAACTGGCCTTCCTTCAAGGTTCAGGGTATGTAAGGGGTCTGGACCCCCCATTCCATGAGGCAAGATGGGGTAACTGAATCAGCTTTGCACCTGAGAGGTGCCTCTGCACCCTGACCCTTGCCTCCATTTGTTGTAAATGTAAATAAACAGAAGCTTTACCACAGTTTCTGAATCAAGATATACCCTGTCACTTGGGTTGTGTAACAAGTAACAGCATCTTTACTTCAGTTTAAAAGATCAAATAGGGCTTTGAATGCAATTTTCTTGCTTCTTGGCAGGGGGTTGGACTAGATGGTCCACGAGGTCTCTTCCAACTATGATTCTTTGATTCCAATATATACAGAAGTCTCTCTCTCTCTCTGAATTCACACAGAGGGAATAAGCAGTCCCTTTAAACTGCCTTTAAATATGCCTCATTTGCTTTATAAATAATCAGGCTATCTGAGAGTTGGCAGCCATTTCCTTCACTATTTCCAGTCAGCATTCTCTTCACTCTCCAAGTGAAAGTGGCAGTTAAAACCATTTGTCTCAGCAGCAAGTCAGAGACAGCAGCCAATCAGAACTCGGGCGCCTGGCATGCACAGCCAATCAGCTGCCGACACATGTCTTTCCAGTTAATCCACCACATCATGGTGTCTCTTTACAAATCCCCACACTATTCACACAAATATCCACTTTGCACTGTGGGCTTGTCTTAAGTGTTCTGCAAAGGGGAAACACGGGCGTTACCTTGGAAGCATTGGGTCCTGGTTTCACCACGGAGCATGTCCTTGGCGCACCACTCTCTGGCTCTCCTGAACCGGATTCTTCCATTTCCTGAAGGAGTTGGTTTGGAGACAAAATGTGAGTGGAAGGCATCCCAAGGAACCTCCAGGGAACAATGAGAGACCAGGGGGTTCTGGAGAGCCCAAGGCATTGCGTGTGGAGATAGAACAGAAGAAGACTATCCCTATAGACCAGGGTTCAGAACTCCGTTTCCTGGAACAGCAGTTCCTTTGGTTTCAGAAGGCAAGGGTCCCATCCCTGGCCTTGAGGTGTTTGAGCAAGGAGGACAAGGCCTGATCACAGATTCACAGAAGATGGTTGTGGCCATCATGTGTGATTCTGGTCACTTTTGCACCAGACATGTTCATCACCAAGGGTGCATCTTCACTGTAGAGTCTACGCAATTTGAAGTCTCTTTACCTGCCAGGGCTCAATGCTTATGTGTTCTTCAGAGTTCTAGTTTTGCAAGATCTTCAGCCTCATTTGCTAAAGAGGCTGAAGATCTTGTAGTCAAAGAGGCAGAAGACCTTGGGATTTGTAGTCTGGTGCCTCACCAGACTACAATTCCCAAGATTCCATAAATTGAGCCATGGCTGTTGATGTGGGGTCAAACAGCATTTATTCTACCGTGCAGATGCAATCTAACCTGACTCATAAAGAACTGCACGGAGGCATATACGCCAGCCACACAGCAGAATTATACCAGTTTGACATCACTTCCATGGCTCCATCCTATGGGATCATGGGATTTGTAAGTTGGTATGGCACTGGCACTCTTTGGCAGAGAAGGCCCAAGAGCTTGCAAAGCGACTACTCCTGTGAGCCATGGCAGTTGGAAGTGGTCTCAACCCCCATTAATCCTATAGGGTAGGTGCACCCCTATATACTTCACAGCATGCTCTTCAAACAGTCAGCTGGATGTAAACTGACTTTGGGGTGACTTGGAAGGCCACCATGAAAGGCCTCTGAAGAAGATGGCCACCTCCGGATAACAGGAGAGGTCCCTTGATGGAGAGGCAGGTAGAAGAAAGTGGCCAGCAGGGAAGGGTGAAAGGAGGCAGGTGGAATAGAAGGAGACTCACCCATCCGGTGCCTTCAAACATCTTGAGGTCCATGGGGTCCCCCTGGAGCCTCCCCTCCAGGAAGAGGAGCGAGTGGCAGGTGGCCATGGCTTGGCAGAGGGGGCCCCAGGGCAAAGGGCCCGAGGAGGAGAAGCTGTGCAGCGGGAGGAAGCTGAGAGACAAAGACAGTGGTCAGCAATGGGTCCCTTCCACGAAGGAAGGCATCAGGCGAGGCTGTCTTGAGCTCAAGGAGAGTCAGAAGGCTTTGCTTGGGATGCCCTTTGCACAACCAAACCTTCTCCCAAAGAATTTGGCAACATGGCACAAGTGCTGCTTCCTACAATCACGGCATCATTGATATGATGATGATGACAATAAATAATAATAATAATAATAATAATAATAATAATAATAATAATCCTACCCTACTGAGATCTGCACAGATTATTTGCTGATACATCATGCAGTCCTAGACAGTGTCTGACGTGTGATCCAATACAGCCAGCAAAGTGACCTTGTTTGCTGTGGACTCGTCTTGATAATTCCAACATTTTTTTCTTTCATGAATCATAGAATCATAGAATCCTAGAGTTGGAAGAGACCTCATGGGCCAGCCAGTCCAACCCCATTCTGCCAAGAAGCAGGAAAATTGCATTCAAAGCACCCCCCAATGTTCAGATGGAATGAAGGAGGATACCATTCAAGCCCTCTCAATAGATGGCCATCCAGGCTCTGCTTCAAAACCTCTAAAGGAGACCCCACTGCTTTTGGAGGCAGCAGCAGATTCCACCATCAAGCAGCTCTTCAATGTCAGAACGCTCCTCCTAATATACAAGTGGAATCTCTTTTCATCTTGAATCCATTGCTTGCTTTCTCCCCTTCCTCCTCAACGTGACATCCTTTCAAACATTCCAACATGGCTCTTCTGTCCCTTCTCAGCCTTCTCTTCTCCAGGCTAACCACCCAGCTTACTAAGCTACTTCCCATTATAACTCATGGCTTCCAGGCCTTTGGCAATTTTCGTGCCCTTCTCTGGACCCCTTCCATCCTCCCCATGTTCTTCTTCTATGGCTTTGCCCAGAAGAAGACACAGGGTCATTCCAGTGGTTCCTGCCCAAAGTAGAGGAATAGACTGGGCCCAGAACTTCACTTACACTATACTTCTATTGACGTAGCCTAGAATGGCATTGGCTTTTTAGCTGCTGCATCACAACTATTGTCCTATCTCTCTTTGGGCTTCCTGGAGGGGGACCAACCCAGAAACCATGGCTCCCTTGCCCTCTCTTGGCCTTGGATGAACTATTGGGTTTCTTTTAGCTTAGACAGCAGTCTCTCTGAAGGCTTAAACAAATCTGCCTTCCAGCAGTCAACCACCGCGGCTTCTTAATCTGCTTCTCACAAAACAGGCAAACAAGAGTTTCTTGTCTAACATTATTGGCCAGCCTCCACTTCATCTATTTTTGGTTCAAGAGGCAAATCTGGCTCCTTCACCCTTTGCCTTCTCGATTCTTTGTAGCTCTTGTCCGATTTCAGATTGCAAGAGAAGAGACTAAATAAATTGGCTAGTTTCACAGATAACACCAAAACAGCTTTCTCAGAATCATAGGGTTGGAGGGGACCCCAAGGCCCACCTAGTCCAACCCCTTCAGCTATGAAAGAAGGCACAGCGAAAGCACAACTCCATAAAGAAGCCCATCCACCCCCAGTTTGAAGATCTCCAAAGATGGAGGGTCCCTCAAGGCATCCAGAGAGGGACTGGAGAAGCTGAGCCTTTAAAGCAGGCATGGGCAAACTTTGGCCTTGCAGGTGTTTTGGACTTCAATTCCCACGACTCCTAACAACCTACTGGCTGTTAAGAATAGTAGGAGTTGATTTCCAAAACACCTGCAAGGCCAAAGTTTGCCCATGCCTGCTTTAAACAGTTAAGCAACAGCCTGAAAAGTGAACCAAGGTCAGTTGCATACATCAGTTGACACACAAAGGGACGAGGGCTCTCCAAAAACAGAGCCTGCATTACACCAAGTTTGGGGAGGAAGAGGAAAAAACGAAGTCCAACAAGAAATGCTACAGTCAAAATGCACAGTCCCTATTGAAGCTGGTACTAAGGATGGGCCTTTTTCCCATCTAGCCTAATTGTCCATGCAGCTGGAGAGTCAGTCTAACTGGCAAGTCTTTTCTGGCATTTTGTGGTGCCAGTGTTGCTAGGAACCTAGGGGCAGTGGGGTTCCAGACTCTCCTGCAGAATGCCTCTCCTTTGAATGCTCTCCATCCTCACCTATTCCACCCCCTTGAAGTCGAACATGACCCCCCATAAGAGATAGTAACTTATAGTTTTGCTAAGGACAAGGACATCAGGCTGGATAATAGGGGTCAAGTTTTGGTCAATTTGCAAAGACACTAACAACAACAACAGGGACCCTTCCCATGTCAGATAGTGTGTACATTTAATCAAGGTTTTATGCCCTAAATTTCATATATAGCAGAAGGTAACAAATTTATTACTGAAAACCATGCCACAAAAGTCATTTGACTTTTTCCATCTGAGACACAACTGGGCTAGAGAATTAATGGCTCTCCAATTGGTTTCCCATCTCAGTCAACGACTCACAAACAAAAGGGACTCCCTTTTGAGCTGAGAAACATTTACATATCCAGGCTAAAGGTTAGCCAAGAAAAACATTATGCTCTCCATACTTTATGAGATGGACTCTGGGTGGGGGTGGGGAGGGTTGATATGATTTCTTTTCCCCTCTTTATGAATGTATGCCTTATGAACCCCATATATGTGTCTGTATAAAATATGAAATGCCACCACTTTGTGACCCCAGCACACCAAAGATCTCAGGAAAATCTTCTCATTTCCTGGGATAGATAATCCCCTGACCGAAAGGACTCAACAGAAACCTCTTGCATGGACAATACAATAGGCACACACCTTCAGGCTTGCATGGCTATCTGAAGGAAGTGCCCCATGGTGACTCAATTACTCTTCACAAAAGGGGATATCCTGCCTTCGGGAGAATTTGGATGTCCCAACTGCCTCACCCATTGTCTTCATACCCTTGGCCGAAACCAAAGACCAGATAAAATCAATTGATCCCATACCCAGGACTGGAGATTACTGGGGCTTGGCATCTGTGCCAGCCACAAATGTTAATTTCACCTGCATGAAACAATACAAAGCTAGCTTGAGGACTCTTCGGGTTATTGCCGGCAATCGGACAAACATTGTCATTTTAATCCACTCATCTTTTCCTCCCAATTCACTGTTTCCCACTCGGACCGCCTCTTTGCTCCCCATTGACTGAGAAGCCAAAGTGGCGCTGGCTTTCTCATTGGCTGAGACGCGCCTGAGCTGGCCGTGCCTCCCCTCCAGCTGATGACTCCAACCAATCAGCGTGAAGCCGGCAAAGGGGGCGGCGGTGGGGAATTTGAATTTGACAGTTCTGTTTCTCTATAAAAATGTACTGTTCTGCCTTGCAAAACATGTCAGTTTTTGGCAAGGGATTGCAGCTTGACATCCATACCAGCTGGGACGAAATAAAGGCAACTCGGTGGCATTTTCTTCAACTTGGTGAAACTTTTATTGGAAAATCAGGGAAAACCCTATTGGGTGCTTCTTTTCTCACCAGGGCTGAAAGGACTCTCTTTGATGGGTCTGGCCGGTCTCTGCCTCCTGGCAAAGACCCCTAAATTCTTGCTCAATACCACCCTCAAGGGTCCTGACCCCTCCCAAACCCCTGTTTCCAGAAGGTCAAGAACAAGTCAAGTCCTTTGCAAAGTTAGATGTATCAGGAATAAAGAACGTAACTCTAGTAACATGTCTTACCTTGCGTCCTGGCAAGGGGCGACGCCAAAGAGATTCAGCCCATCCTCTGTCAAGGTGCCAGTCTGGATTCAGATGAAAAACAGATAATTGAGTCAGAAGGGCCTGATCCTGGGTTGGTTCAGCAGAATGGATCATGCACAGATTTCTGAATGGCAAAGGGATCTTTGGGCTGTGCCACCAGGAAAGATGGGGAGGTTGGGGAGGGGTGGGCATTTGGAGGAAATGGGTCTCTTTGTGGGGTGCAGAAGCAAGTATCATGAGGAAGACTAGGAAAGACAGGTCAGGTGAAGGGCAGCAAGGAGAAGAGGAAGGCTTTGTTCCAGGGACTCAGGTGAGGAAGTTATGGATACTGCCTTGACTTTGCAAGACCTGAGGACAGGGGGGCTTGGAGGTCTCCCGTCCATAGGATCCCATAAGTCAACTCAAAGGCACCTAACAATAATAATAACAACAACAAATCCCATAAATATCTACAAATATCTCAGAGTGCCAAAGGAGTCCTGAACCTTTCCAGTTATGCAGTTCTTTTGAGCACTGGAGATCCTTTCTCTATGCAAACTGAGCAATCTTCCCAAATAGGAAAGGCTCCTGTTATCCTCCGTTTATGGCAGATGGGGCGGGGGGCTGAGATGGAGAAAGAGTGGTCTTCCCAAATGATCACCCCAAGACACAGTGAGAAGTCAGTTGAGCACCCTCTTCCCTCAATGCCTTCCTTCATCCCATCAACTGCATCCCTTCCCTCTGTTGCACCTTGTCAAAGCAGACCAGGTTGATCTGCCCACAGATATTGATCCTTTGAGGGCTGATGCAGAAGATCTTCTTCCTCTTGAGCCTCCGCTGGGCATAGACAATGCCGGTGGTCAAGGCGGCCGGGAGGGCTGGAGTGACAATTCCACTGAAGAGAAGCACCGACATCAGCGCCGTTTCCGATGCAGGTCTCTGGGAAAGACACAGAGAGAAGGACTTGGAGGTAGTACAAGAAAGAAAGAGGCAGCTGGCATGATGGTGCAAAGGAGTGAGCAGATTATATTTAGGTGTGCAGATTGGAGCTGTATCTGTTGCTTGATGTTAGACCTGCCATAGAACACTCACAGGCAACTTGCAGCACAAAGAACCCACAACTTTTATTTCTGACCCAAAAAGGGGTCATTGCAGGACACATTAGAGAGAAATCTGTTTTGGGACATTGTGCCTTTCAGAAATGAAGCATGTCTTTCCAGGTATAGATTGATTGTCCATAGCATTCAGACATGGGTAAAATTGCCCACTTGCCTTCCCTTATTCTCCCTCCCCTCTCTGTCATTTAAAATCAACAACAACCTTTTGCAAGGCTCACACAATAAGAAATGAGGATTTCTGTTGTGAGAAGCCTTGCCTTTTTTTGCAATCGTCTGGTTTCTCCAGCCAGGATGATGCTGGGAGGGACCCATACAGCAAGACTTGGGGTGTAATTATTCTGTGGAATGAATGCAGACACCACTTTAACTGCCATAAAAAGGTAAAGGTAGTCCCCTGACAATAAGTCCAGTCATGTCTGACTCTGGGGTGTGGTGCTCATCTCCATTTCTAAGCCGAAGAGCCAGCGTTGTCCATAGACACCTCCAAGGTCATGTGGCCACATGACTGCATGGAGCGCCGTTACCTTCCCGCCGGAGCGGTACCTATTGATCTACTCACATTTGCATGTTTTCGAACTGCTAGGTTGGCAGAAGCTAGGGCTGACAGCGGAAGCTCACGCCGCTCCCCGGAATCGAACCTGCAACCTTTCGATCAACAAGCTCAGCAGCTCAGTGCTTTATCCCACTGCGCCACGCCTGCTGGAGCTATGTGACGGCGCGAGTGGCGCCACCTATGTGTAGAACTGTTAGTTGCAAGATTTAAACTGTTGTATCATGCTTAATCCTGCCTTTTTACCCTGCCTATGTATAGTTGGATTGATTGGTTATTTATAGCTGTCAATCAATGTTGTTTGCACCAGTTGAATTGCTTTCTCAGCTCAATTGTTTGGCTCCACCTCTTCCTGAAGGAGGGGAGTGCTTCTCTCTTTTTCATTCTGCCATCAGAGTTTCTATCAGATGGACGAGAGTAAGAGACTTGGCTCTAAAAGCCCTGGTTAAATCACCTCTCAGCACCAATTCTGAGGTTTTTTACCCTTGAGACTTATGCTTCATGTTCAGACCAACCTGAACGATGTTGGAAGTCTCAAGCGCCTTCAAACCGGTTCTTTTGGCACCAGAGGAATCCTGTATCTTCAAACATAGGTCATTTGAACTAGGGTTGTGGTTTGCTCCGGCATTCACAGCCATTGAGGAAAGAGGAAACCTGGAAAGGCTTCTCAGCTTCAAACTCCTTGGACCCAGGACTAACTGAGACTGTAATGTACATTTTCCTTCACCCCTCTGTAGTTTCCAGATCATTGCTTTAAAGAAATAACTCTTTGTGAACCATAAATCTTATTTTGAGCTATTTACAGTGTTTTGGGTCTTTGGGAGTTCCAGTTTCCTAA